GCAAAAGCCTTTGACTGTGTGGACCACAACAAACTATGGCAAACTATGATACCACTCTGATGGCAGAAAATGAGGAGGAATTAAAGAACCTCGTAATGACGGTGAAAGAGGAGAGGGAAAAAAAAGGACTGAAGCGCAACTTCAAAAAAACTAAGATCATGGCCAGTGACCCCATCACCTCCTGGCAAATAGGAGGGGAAGATATGGAGGCAGGGACAGATTTTACTTTTCTGGGGTCCATGATCACTGCAGATAGTGACAGCAGCCATGAAATTAAAAGATGCCTGCTTCTTGGGAGGAAAGCGATGACAAACGTAGCTAGCATCTTAAAAAGCAGAGACTTCACCTTGTTGACAAAGGTCCGCATAGCCAAAGCTATGGGTTTTCCAGTAGCGATGTATGGAAGTGAAAGATGGACCATAAAGAAGGCTGATGCTTTAGAATTGTGGTGCTGGAGAAGGCTCTTGAGAGTCCCCTGGACTGCAAGGAGAACAAACCTATCCACTCTGAAGGAAATCAACCCTGAGTGCTGACTGGAAGGACAAATCCTGAAGCTGAGTCTCCAATACTTTGGCCATCTCATGAGAAGAGAAGACTCCCTGGAAAAGGCCCTGATCTTGGGAAAGTGTGAAGGAAAGAGGAGAAGGGGACGACAGAGGAGGAGATGGTGGGACAGTGTCATCGAAGCTACCAACATGAAATTGACCCAACTCCGGGAGGCAGTGGAAGACAGGAGGGCTTGGCACGCTCTGGTCCATGGGGTCACAAAGAGTCGGACATGACTTAGCAACAACAACATACTTGATGTCTTTTGTCATATTTTAATTATCTTTGAGACTGCGTGATGTCTTTTTTCATATTTTAATTATCTTTGAGACTGCGTGAAGTGTATGAAGGCAGAACTCCCACAGCCCAACATTTCAGCCCCTCTAAAAGTTAGCTTGTTCTCCCCTGCCCCCCTTTTTACTGCCACCTGCTTTTATGAGAATGATTTTCTGTTCCATAGTTCAAGAAATAAAGATGAAAGCATTCTAGTTAGCAAAATGGGTTAGACTAGGGAGCTGGCCTATTAGCACATGTATGCACACATCTGTGAACACTTGGTGGCTTTCAGCTGAATGTATAACCTCTCTCTACTAAAAAGCTATTTTAGTAGCATTTTGACAGTGGGTGATGCAGAGGCTCCATGGAGATTAACCTTATAAGAGTTTGTTTAGTGATGCAGGTCATTGCTGTACGCTACAGTTACTGAATTTTGAACATAGAAGGCTGAATGAGCTCTGTGCATCAGTTTCCACTTTTATGAACTGTGAACACACCTTAATATTTGTAGCCAGAATCTTGCTGCATTTTATCACATGCAGTAGGGCAATAGCGCAAGAGGCTTGCAGTTATTCCAGCTGTCCATCACACAGGTACATGTGCAACCACTCCCATGACCAACTGCATAGCTGGGACACTGCCAGAAATGCAATGGGCAGCTGGAGAGATCATAAACAACACTTCAGTGATTGTTGCTGTTGAACCACAACAAGATCCTGGCTTCTCAATCTGCTGTCAGTGACTGACTGACACCTAACTTCCTTTATACACAAATTGCTTGTACAGTTTCTGAAACTCTTCTGAGAATGCAGTAATAAACTATTATCATCCATTGTATTACTTCCTTGTAGCTTTATAGTTTTTCTACTGGATATTTTGCTGTTGTTTAAGTTGGCAAAATTATGTCAAAATCTTTGCAATTTTTAAAGGCTGAATTTGTCTTAAACTGATAATTATTTTCAGAGAGGCATTATTAAATATTTACCTTTACTTCCCCAGCAAAATGATTAACTTATCCCAACCAGATACAATTGATGAGAGAGCTATTAACAAGAAGAAGCTTACCCCATTCACTATATCTGTAAGTACAATACACTCAGGTCGGAGTATTTAAATATACATCAGAATATTGTTTGGGGGAGCAGAGCAAGGTTCCATTAGTTTGTAAAGTAAACTGTTGCAAAATAAGCCAACAACTAACATGTAATATGCTAATATAAACTTCTGGATAGCTGTCAGGGAGAATTTTCCCTTTCTTTTTTTTTGCCAATCTGATTGTGAATATTCCCCATTAATGTGACACAGTATAAACAGTAGCACTTTTGTTATATGTGTATCATGATTATGCAACAAAACATTTTTAATTTTAACCTTTGAAAAGGTAGTGGCAAATCTCCCAAATAAGGCATTGAAATGGCAGCATGGGTTGAGATGGTGTGAGTGCCTTCTATGTTCTTATACTTTGATGTTTTCAAATATTTATCTCAATTTATCTTCCTTTTACCCCTTCCATTGTCTCTCACTGTAAATATTATTGGTTTATTACCAAAGTAATGTGTGTTACTTTCAATTTGCTCCTTCCTTCTGCAACCTTGGAATCAACCTGACCCTTTCTTTGCCCAGCACTATTATATAACTAGAGTACAGTATATATAATTATCATACCTGATGCCAGTGACCTTTTCATCTAGCTCCACTAAGAGCAGACATTTCAGAAAAATATATTGAATATTATGGATTGATTCATGTACTATTTATTTCTATTTTGTCATCATTTATATGAATTGAAAACAATATTACATCTCATGCTCACTGTTAGAAGGCCCACTGTGAAACTTTTGTTAAAGTTTGCCCTATTTTCTTTTAAAGGTAATTATATTTATTTGAATTGTATTTATTGCTCTTCAAACTGGAACATCCCAACATGCAAATGCATTTATTCTTATTTTTCCTTTTAGGAAAATTTGGATCTTGCACTAAATTCTGCATCAGCTATTGGCTGTACAGTTGTAAATATTGGATCACAAGATCTAAAGGATGGGAAACCGCATTTGGTTTTGGGACTGTTGTGGCAAATCATTAAAGTTGGGCTTTTTGCTGATATAGAGATCTCCAGAAATGAAGGTAACAAGTTTAGAACCACGAGAAATGGCAAAGGCTGAAATGTGTGATAAGTAAAATGTTTTTTTTTCTTGTTTGCTCTGCTTCTGAACCTCAAAATCAAATTGGTGCAATCGTATATAATAATTTGAAAAGCAACTTTCCTGAAAACTTTTTTTGCAGCCCTTATTGGTTTGCTTAATGATGGGGAAGAATTAGAACAGCTAATGAAACTGTCTCCGGAAGATCTTCTGCTACGCTGGGTTAATTATCATCTGGATAATGCTGGATGGAAAAAAATAAGCAACTTTAGTCAAGACATTAAGGTATAGCTAAATTTATTCCCAAAAAAATCAAAACAATTATTATTATTTTGAACCATGTAATTTGAACTCACCAAGATCATAATAGAAATCTTGCTATTACTGCACTTTAATTCAAGTTATTCAAATATAAATATCCCTCTGGAACTAATACACAATAGTTATCTGTCACTAAAACATAAAAGATTGCTCTTGAAGTTGATTAATAAAGAATGAGAGTCAGTAAGTGATTAAGGGAGCGGTCGAGTCTTCCCCTGAAGAGCCAGGTCAAATCTGTTTCACTTTTTCAGCATTTGCCAGTCCTCAAACATAAAGAACTTTTGTTAAGAGATTCTGCATTGTTTATTTCAGGACTCAAAAGCTTACTTCCATTTATTAAATCAAATTGCACCCAAAGGAGGCAACCATGGAGGGACCACACTTTCCATTGATCTTTCAGGTTTTAATGTAAGTGTGTGCATAAAATGTTCTTATATCAAGCAGCTGGAAATCATTTAATAAATAAACACAGGATGTTTGAAGATCAAGTTACACCTTTCTCGGTTAAAGGAGTTTTTCTGCTGTGCATTGCTTAGAACAGGATCTGGCACAACTTCATGGCCATGGTGGCTGGGAGTTGATGGGTGATGGAAATATTGATCGTACATACCTGGAGAACACTAGATTGGGAAACACTGATCTAACTGATTTAGATCAGTATAGTTGGCCTGCTTTAAATTTTGCAATGGTATAATCTAATGCAATAAAAATATAATAGACTCTGTCTGTGAAATAGGTTTTTTAATGGTTGTAGAACTGTTGCCAAATATTTATTAAACAGAGGATGAAAAAAAGAGCAAATGGTTACTTTTGTAGATTTTAGTAAAATAATATTTTAAATTATAAAGGGTGGGAAATATTACCATTTCATCACTTCGTACTAACTTTTTGTTCTACAGCAAGACATTTGGATTGCTAACACCTTCCCAGTCTGAATCTGTTTTCTGTGATTATTTAGAATATTCCTACATAGTGTTTCTCTAATGAAAATGAAAGCAACAGAACTGGTATGGCAAACAGGCATGGTGGGGCTGTGGAGTCCAACCAAGATAAATTCTCTGGGTTGAGAGTGGAGAACCTGCGGCCCTCTGGAGCTGGACTCAACTTTCATCATTACTTAACACTGGTTATGATTCCTGACGCTGCTGGCAGTTTGAGTCTAATAACTGGAAGGCTACAGGCTCCTCTATACATTATCTGAGATTTGGAGTCCGGAAAAACACAGAAGTTCTTGCAGTTTTATCCAGAATAGTGTTTTAAGTCTAATGCTATTTTACATGAAGAGTAGATTTATAATGTCAAGACTATTTTTGTAACATCATTGGTTTTTTAAAAAAAAATTTCTAGGAGGAAAATGACCTGAGGAGGGCTGAATATATGCTTCAGCAAGCAGAGAAATTGGGCTGCAGACAGTTTGTTACTCCTGCTGATGTAGTTGCAGGCAACCCTAAACTTAACATGGCCTTTGTTGCAAATCTCTTTAACACATATCCTGCCCTGCAGAAGCCAGAAGGCTCTTCATATGACATCAGTTTACTAGAAGGTAAATACTCTATCAACATACCCTGAATGTCGCATTAGATAATGGGCATTATATGTATAAATAGGCCTTTCTTGATGAATTGATGTTACATAATTGACTCAAAAACATCAAAGCTTCACACATAAAAATAATAAAGGGCAGGGCATTGACTCACTGAATAGTGATTATTGTCAGTCAATCCATATTGAAAATATTGTAATTTTCCTTCCTGGATATTTTCATGGAGAATTAATTTCATTGGTTATCTGCTAGTGCATGGCATTTTCATAGGAGTAGCTGTGTTAATCTATGCAAGCATATCAGACAACCTTCCCCACAAAAACGCACACACAAAAACAAAACCAAGATAAAAACACTGTGGCACCTTAAAGATGAACTGCAGTATTTTAATGAGAGCTTTCATGGGTCAAGTCCACTTCCTCAGACATAAGAGACTATATAACTGTCATATTTCAACATGGCCCCATGAACAGGTAGGGTACAGATAGTGAACAAAGTGACTATGGTTCATTTGTAAAGGCTGCCAGGCTGTGAATAATGTCAATTATGGGTCTACAAGATAACAATAGGATGGTTGACACAAGTAGCAAACTGTGTGAATCAATGTAGCATTTCACACTTGGCTATGAGTTAGAATCCTTGATTGATATTCAGTCCTTTTAAGTGAGTCTCCAGCATCTGTATTTACCTCATCTCAGCTGTTTCTCTTTCAAGTTTCATTTTGTAGTGTTTTTTAATTGCCAAGGCAGCGACTTTGAAGTCATTCAAAGAGTGTTCATATAGGCTGAAATGATCAGAAACAGGTTTTTCTGTCTGGTCATTCCTGATGTCAGAATTCTGTCCATTATTATGAAATACCCTTAATAATGAAAAAGCCCATACCAGCAATTCTTATTCAAAAGCACATTGCCTCCAATCTTGAAGGTCCCCTTTAGCTGCTGTTTCCTAGCTATCTGAGCCAGGAGCCCTCACCCTACCTACTGACAGCAAATTCTGTAAGTTAACTGCATTGTATGAGGGTCTTTCTTTCATCTGTCCTAAAGCCCCTGCCGGTCCCCCCAAAAAAAACATGTCATTGATAAATACACAATGACTGACTATTCAGAGTTGTGACCTGGCCAGCATTCAATAAAAATGTGAAGCAAGTGCCCAGTGCTAATTGAACAGTTACTGGTTTCCATTCCTTCCTTTTCCTCACGCATGAGACGTTTTGATGCCAGTGGGGAAATATTCAGCCTTGTATAAACAGAAGCTTCAGAAATATCATTTTATCAGGAATACAGTGGGGAAGGGAGGGGTTAAACCCCTGCTGCAATGCCATTTAGCATTAGTACTCTCAGCAGCTGCTACTTGCATATTAAAATATGCACTTTATGAGCAAAGAGGCATTTAACATATACAGTACTTGAGCCATACACAGTCCCCCCTCCTTCTAAGTATTTATAGTTATCCTGACCATACTAGCTATGTAAATGTATTTCATGTTAAATAGAATACTAGTAGAGTTTTGTCCAGCCTTAAGGCCAAAGCAGATAATGCTGGGAGACCTATTAACAGTTTGTCCTGCTTCTGGGGTGGTGATTGAGCTGTTTCTGGAGAAACATACTGAAGGAAAGGATGTCTAGCTCTACGCCATCTGCCTTCATTTTTAAAATCTATGTGAGTGTCTTTGCATTACTCTTTGCCCCACAGAGGGGAACCTATACACCTGTACGGTATCTGTGAGCATTTCCAAGCGAGGGCTCCTTGTGCAGGCACTTTGAAGACACTTTGCAATGACTGTCTTTTTTTTTTTTAATGGCTTTTCTATGGGAAGGAAAAAGGGGGAAGAAGCGTTGGAAAAACAATGGAGAATTCCGAGTAGAGCATGATATTCCCAGAAGATGCCATGAAGTTCATGAATGAGGGAGGGCACTAGTATACCAATAGGCATGCTAGAAACTGCTTTATGTTTTCTCCCACAAGGCAAAAAGTAGGACGATTGAGATGGGGGGGGGAGTTCAGAAGAAAGTAATTAAACACGTCATCCCCTAATATGTTGTATTTAACTGAAACAATGGGATGGAGAAGGAGATCTGATCACAGACCTCACAGCATCTCCTCTTGTTTGGACCTCAAAGGCTGCATTTTGTAGCAGTCAGTTTTTCAAATATTACTATATATTATTATATAATATTATTATATGAATGGTGAGCACATTCATTTCTTGGTATTTGTTTCTTAGATGAACTGTCAAAATCTGACAATTCATAATTTTCCCATTTTTCTTCATGAAATGCAGATTTGACCCCTCCTAATGTAGGTACTGTATTTAGTATTTTTCATTAGTTTACAAATGTGTTTATCGCCAGACCTCTGACTCCTGGCTTCCCCATGCTTGCTTTTATTATGATTGCTTTCCTCCTAATTATCCTCCTGCATCCGTTATATTGCTGTCTTTCTTTTAATATGCCGTTACAACTGAGCAAAGAATATTAATAGCATTCATTTATTCAGAGTATCATACAAATGCCAGCTTGTTTTCTATCATAACTGAACTGTTTTAGGAACCATAAATAAGGTAACCACATGAAAAATAAGGCTCTTACACCTTCAACAATAGTGTGGCAGAGAGAATTTCTACAGATGTAGCATGTAGCATCAGTTGAAATTCATGTCCTTTTCATTTCATGTGACTACTATCAGCAGTGAGTTCTCTGAAAATACAGGAACACTTTAAAACTTGAAATAATGTAATGCCATTTCTTCCTCTGTGTATCCAGAGGCTGGAATTTTAATTTAATGAAAAACCAGTTTGCAGACATAATAGGTTGGATCTATGTACGTCTCTCCATGCATGGAGGGCTCCAGGAGAGAGGGAACCAGAATCCAGTTGAAGCATCTCTTTGGAGAAAGGGAATGGGATGGCAATTTTGCTTTACTTCCTCACTTATCAGTACCATGTTCCAAAGTGTTTTAAAGAGTCTCCTGAGCCTTCCAAGAGCATTTTAGGAATCAAAGGGGATGTAGTGAAAAGGAGAGAAATGGGTAGGCAAGCCAACTATTTCATCTGTAGTACCAATGGAACTCTGCTAAATGCAGTTCTGGATGCAACCCATTAAAACAAAATGGATTTGTAGAAATGCATAAATATTGCCCCTTACAGAAACATTTGTAGAAATGTTCATATGTGGTCTTTTGGCAGAGCCTTAAGGTACGTAGTTCTTAATAGTCAGACATATCTTGGTATGATTAAAAAAACACAACATTAAAAAAAACCTTGTCAAAAGCAACATACCACCATAAGACATAAGAAATTTATTTGTCATTGCACTCACAAGTGGGTGCAACGAAATGAGGCGCTCTTCCCCAAGGTAAAACTGGACAACGCCACTACAAAAAAAATTAAAATATACACAACACTCACCATACAAATATAGATACCCCATTTCTCCCAGCAATTAAAATTCCACCAAAAACTTTTAACCCTGCATTTAAACTCAATACTGCACTTGGGTAGAAGCTGTTCTTGAATCTGCTTGTCCTTGCTTTCAATACCCTGAATCTCCTTCTCGATGGTAATAGTTTAAAGAGCTGATGTCCCGGATGAGAGGAGTCTTTCAGTATGTTAGATATCTTCCTCTTACATCTGTTCTTATACAATTCTTCCAAAGAGAGGAGTGAACAGCCAATGATGTTTTAATCATATCTTGGTATGATTAAAAAAACACATTAAAAAAACCTTGTCAAAAGCAACATACCACTAAATAAGCCTGATAAAATCCTGAAAGATAAACGTATATTTACTACTTATATCAACAAAATTATTAGGTGAATGCCTCTTGGGAGTGACTCATGCAATTGAGTTGATGCCACAGAAGGACACACCTTATTTTTTTCCATCTTTAGTGGGCTTCTAATGATGTCCATAATTGATGGGGAACTTAATGCAGAATGACTTCACATATTTTGACCTCCAACCTATTAGGATTTAATAAGAATCAGTACATTGAATTGGGCCCAGATACTAACACAGAGAGATCTAGTGTAGTGGAACAGACAGAGAGTATCAGACTAGGATCCACCAGATATGGATTCAAAAGCCTTACTTGGCCATAGAAACTCACTGAGTAGAACTACTGCTTAAATATCTCAAATGTGTCAGAAAAGCCCAGGATCATCATAAGTCAGAATCAACATGATGGGACATCACATCACTAACAGAGAGCCAATAAAACTGGAATCTGATTAGGGTGACATGACCTGAAAAACACAAACTTCAAAGAATTGTGGTCATCCTATTTTGTACCAACTGTAGTTTCAGAAGTCTTTTCGAGGGCAGTCCCATGGGGAATCCATTTTACTAATTTAATCTGAAGATGACTAACGTGTGCATGTTTGTGATAAAATCCACATTTCTTAAATTTGAATGCCTCTCATCTGAAATTTTTCTTTGAATATGGAAAATGTTGTGGCCCTCAAAGATAAAGAAGATTTTACTGTAAATTCATTCTGTTGCTAATTTATACAAGATCAATATGGACTGCAAACTACCATGGAGATATAATATTCTGTATGAGATTGTTATGAAACTACTTGATATAAAGTTACGATTAATCCAATATTGCATAGAAACTGACAGTCATCTTCATAGGGATTAAAATCTGTACAGTTGAAGTTTTGTTGTCATGAGGACATAAAAAGTGACCACAATGAAAATTCTGTTTAAACTTTTTTTGGCATTTTTACTATGCCCTTTATTCTGCTAATGTGAAAAAGAGAACAGTTCAGTAGCTCACTATCTAATGCAGCTACTGCCCTTGGTTATTCTCTAAGCATATTAACATGATCACAGAAGATAATGATACATGCCCCAGTTCTTGGGTTTTCCCCATTACTTGCCCTGCTTACCACATAAAATACTGTATATATTCCCAGAAGGTATATTCTGAACAGCAGAAAAGAGTGGGGTAGGAGCAATGAAAAGCTGGCCAGCTTTCAACCACATGAAAAGCTTAAGAATTCTTATGTGCCTGTATAACAAAGAATCTTGTTTAGAGTGGCATATTAAATACAGTGTGTTATTTTTAGTTCCACAGTTCCTTTTAGTCAAAATTGCCTTCTTTCAACTTGCACGCTATTGCTTCTCTTTGTCTAGAGTGGTTTTTTCTGGCATTGTTCAGCATGCCGTTTTAATTCTCAGTGTGAATGAAATTGCTGAATATTTCCTTTAGGATTTCTGAATATTTGCTTCAGCATTTCAGCTTTCTGTAACAGGATTTCCAGGAAGCATTTGCTTGTTCTCTTGAAATGTTCAAACTACATTTTAATTAGAGATTGGATTAAAAATTAACCCCAAAAATATTATACACAATATGACTCAATGACCTCTCCAAAATACCTTAGTAGAAGTAAACCATTATTAAGATGGTATCTTGTAACATATGATAGTTGCAATCCCATAGAGGACTTCCATAGACAAAATATTATAGTGTATATACAGACCAATTTGCTGACAAGCATGAATGAAAGAGAAGTCTGAAGTAGCAAGAAACAGAAACATAGTTTGAATTTGGCAGAAAAATAATACCATGATTACTAGATGCTTGGTCTACATAGCAGAATGAAGTGATGTGGAGTCCAAAATGACAAAAGTAGAGTCTGCCATTTTGGACTGCAGGGAGAGACACTTAATGGCAGTGCCTGCTCTTGTAAAAATACCCTGGAAGTAAAACTTCAGTGTCAGCGAGAATTTCTTCTGCTGCTCCAGTTTTGTAACTGCAGGGAGTTTTTTGTTAGGGGGCATTAAGCACTGCAATCACTTACCAACAGTTTGAATTACCACACTTGGTTCGCCCACCTTGGCTTTCTACCATCTTGCTTCTACCTCATTCTACTGCACATGTAGACTTGGGACGTAGATAGTCCTGAGGGCCTTTTAAGCAGATAACGTTGAAAAAAACCAGTAAGAATTCAGTACTGTAGAAATCAAATGCAACTTCATTCTCAGCAGAACTCTCTAGGTTCAATTTTATCAACGAAGGCTAAACTTAACATTAGCTCCCCCCCCCCAGCAGACAGATTCCTGTAGAAGCTGCCCGATGTTACACTTTTGGACTACACTTCTCTTCACTGTAGTCAGACTTGGCCGAGAAGAACGCAACTAGGAGCATTGTTGATGTAGGTTTGCTAGTTTGTTTCTGTTTAATACTTACAATTTTTTTCCTGCCATCTCTGTATTGGCTGTTTCCTTGTTATGAATGAGATGAGAAATATTTAATTGCTGACAAGTAAATATTGTAAATAGTGAAACAAAAGCCAGATTGCATCAACATATTATAGAAATAATAAGTAGTGTACAGTTTTCTTAAGCCTGCACCATATAAATAGGAGTACAAATTTAATGTTAATGGCATGGAACAGTTCTACTAGGTAAATACTGGAGTGATGCCAGTCAAAGGGCATAAAAGAGCATTAGTGGTATTGTGGATTAAATAGTGGTCTTGAACTTTGAAGAGCTAGGTTGAAATGCTGCCTTGTTGTGCAACTCACTTCTACAATTCTTTCTGAGCTAAAACGGTTGTTGTTAGGAAGGATAACCCCATCTTGCTCCCCAAAGCTTGCTTGACTACAGTTGGTAAACTGTATCTAGCCCTTGCCAGCTTTAAAAGTTTTGTTTTCCTCTACCTTAGTAGTTTCCTCCACCCTCCATATCATGAAGAATTACATTTTTTACAGTAAATACCTATCCTGCTTTCGGATGCATTACTTTTATACGTTACAGAATTGTATTTCTTTTACACTCCTAAGACTAAATCCAGTGTTAGTCCCAACTAGAGTATATCCATTGAATGTATGACACTTATTAGTCCATATCAATGTAAATCCCTTCGGTTTCCTTAAACTTGTTTTGTTTGGGACTAAAATTGGATTTAATCTTGAAACTAATAGCATATATTAAATCTGACAATTAAGTGTGAGTTCTAACAAATTTGGTACCTTTTTGCTACAGGAGAAAGTAAGGAAGAGAGAACATTCCGAAACTGGATGAATTCTTTAGGTGTAACACCTTATATTAACCATTTGTACAGGTAATACTTTTATTTTTGAATTAGCTTGTTGACTGAACTAGTGCATGATGCAATCCTTGCTCATTAATCTTCTGTAAAATGTACAGTATGTTTACTCCAGTTTGAGATTGTCTTCTTTTGCTCTGGCTAAGATACAGTGGTGACGTAGCATCAGAATAATCACCTGTACCTGTATCTCTCCCCCAGCCTACCTGTGTAGCAAGTCAGCCATTAGAATCAGTAGGTGTTATGGAAGTAAACCAGTGCAAACTATTAACAAATGTAGTAGGAATAAAAAGGGTAAGGCTGTTTTCTCTATTCATTCAGCATGTCCTGTACATCACTGCATTACTGCACAGAGTTCTAGAATGCACACTGTCAGTTTGTATAGGGAGTTGATACTACTAGAAGTGGCACAAAATCTAAGAGATACATATTCCTTCTAGCATGGTTGCCGTAGCTCTTGAATTGTACTGTCCCAGCCTGATTTTGCTGGTCTTGTTGAGTGAAGCCACTCAGACTTCAATTAATGATTGAAAATGCTGCCAGTTATTAGGGATGAATAGGGGGAATAAGCACCACTCCAGTTGCTGTTTGATTGCAACTCTAGTTATCCCTCATAACTGGCTACAGTGGCTTGTGCTGCTGTTAGATGCAATGTAATAATATCCAGAGAGTCACCTAAGATGCCCCCATCTGGCATAATTCCCAGGGTTCAATGCTGTATATATTGATAATAACAGAATTATTTACTATTGTGTACTGACTACTGACTATTAGTAGTTATACAGTACTGACTACATTCAGGAACAGTGTGGTTTTGCTATGTAAAGATCTCTTATTTTTCTCTCTTTCTTTTCCATCTATCTTATTATGGACTTTGACCAGTGACCTTGCTGATGCTTTAGTAATCTTCCAGTTATATGAAATCATCCGTGTACCAGTAGAATGGAACCATGTCAACAAGCCACCATATCCTACACTTGGTGGTAACATGAAAAAGGTTGGTGAAAATCTTTTGTATTTTAAATGGCAATCACCACTTAACTGTATGTTTAACATACATTGACTTAAATGGGTTTAGTATTCTTAGATTATTATTATTAAACTTTGTTTTGCTATGTGATATCAAATTATATCTCACTTATAGCAATCCTAAAAGAGTTTTCAAGGTATGTGAGATTGATCAGGAATGATTTTGCCCAGTCTATCTCATAGTGAGTGTCCACAACTGAGTAGAGATTTGAACCCAGGTCTCCTGAGTCCATCAATCTATCCCGCTACATCACATTGTTTGTCTCTGGTGTATTACTTCCAATTCATGAAAGTAAAACAAGCAATGGTATCTTGGTAGAGACCTTGGAACAGAAACCAGTAAATTAGAAGTCAGGCCATTTGGGATATTGAGTGAAGCACAAGAATCTGGAAGGGAAACATAAAGAAAATTTCATATTGGTATTCACCAGACATTTTGGACTTCACTACCCATCAACCCGAGTCAGTGCTCTGGAATGATGGGTAACCGAAAATACCTGGAAGGCAGCAGGTTGAGAAATACTGATCTACAGTACTGAATGTGCTTATAAATCTTTTATCCTCAACAATATATGGCAAATGACTAATACAGATAACACTGTGCATCTTACAAATGTTTCAGAATTAGAAAGCAGGAACTAAAAGTGTATGTATGAGCATATGCTAATAGAGCATATAATCAAAACAGCTGACCTAAACTGCATATTGGAGACAGGAGGGCCTGGCATGCTCTGGTCCATGGGGTCACGAAGAGTCAGACACAACTAAACGACTAAACAACAACAACAAACTACATATTACTTGTCATTAAATTTATAAAATAAATATATACAGTATATTATTAAAGCAATACATTCAGAAGACGATGGGGAACATCAGGACTGAAAACAATGCTGTGAATCTATGATAGAAATCAAGAATATATGTAGGGTAGATTTCCCGAGAAAAGTGAACATAGACATAGGCCACTATAATGTACATGCATTAAGTAGAAAACCTTTACCTATTTTTATGGATGGGCAATCCTCAGGCCACCCTGGGTCCTTTCAAGGAGAAAGGCAGGGTAAAAATATTTTGAATGAATGAATGAATAAATAAATAAATAAAAATTAGTGCCAGGAACAATTACATCCATGCCAAGGCCAATAGCATACAAAATAGATTTCACAACAAAGTAAGCAAAATCACAGACTATTAGACTTAACTACTTTATATATAGGTCAAACCAGCATGAGCATACAGAGCCAATAAAGAAAGACAAGATACATAGCCCATGTGTAGAAATCATAAATACAAGGAACTCTTTCAGGTCATTCAGCTACCTCCATGATATGAAATTCAGCAAGAAATTTGGAACTAAAACTAGACAGAACAATATCCAAATACAATATAACAGGAAAGTCACATTTTTCAGACTATAACTCCCAGGATCCTGTAGCTAGCATGGTCATTGAAGATGTCCAGGAGTTTGTAACCCAAAAGGGAAACTATTCCAAGCACTACAACTATCATACTGTTTTTCTCTCTCCTTTTGTCATACATACACAACAGGGGAGAGGGAATTTCATCTGCATCTGTACAGCTGTACGATATGGTGTTTCTGTAGTCTTCCGGACTCTAGTTTCTATCGATCTATACCACACTCAGTGACCTCTGCAAGCAATTGAATGCAGAGTGTTGGGACTGGGTGAGATGGTGGGTAACTGGCCAGGTTACATTTTGCAGGGCCCCATTAGAGTGAAGATACACTTCTAATTTCTGCAGCTTCACCTGTGGTTCACTAAAATACATGAATATTTGGAATAAAGTTTGGGGCCTCATGAGGCCCAGCCACGGACTCCCTTCCAAACTCCCATCTATTGCAATTCTCAAAAAGACCACAGGACTGGTTTCTGGTAGGTGGGTAGTAGCAGCTCTGGGTAAAGCACTGAAACGGCATGCAGCAACAGAGAACAGTTAGATGGCAGGCACTAATGGTAAAAAGGGAGGCTGCAGGAAGTTGCCTGGTGAAGAATTTTTATCTGCTATCCACATATCCATGCTGGTCTGGAAATAGAGGGAGGTGTTAATGAACTTTGTTACAGTGAAGTCATAAAAAGAAGAATATTTTATATTTTGTTCCCATCCAGTATTGTATTTTCTCCTTCCCATATGATATTTTCTATTTTATGCACAATGGAAATATTTGCATAGAATTTGAAAACCGTCAAGGCAAACCAGAATAGAAATCTTCCCACAGTTTTGTTCTTTGACAGCTGCTTCTCATTTGGTTACAAGCTAACAAATGGCCAAGCCAGCTGTAGCTGGGCCAATTAGTATTCGTGCATATTCACAGCATTGCCAAATTCAAGCATCTGCAATTGTATTGTTAGATGCAAATGGGGTATTTTAAAATATTGCACATAAGAAAAAGAGATATGTTCTTTTAAATCTACAGGGCAAGCATACTATAAGAATACAGTTTGGCAAAGGGTTCTAAGTAATGTAAAGATAGTCCTTTGTGTACCCGGAAGAGCAGTGTAATTGAAAGAAGAAGAAATGTAATAGAATTATTTTAGTCTCCCTGTGTGCTTAATAAATCTATGCTTTAATCACATTGAAATATTCATGCATCATTTGTTTGATTTTTGTCTAATTTTTCTCCCTCCATGTTCATGTAAATTAAATTTATGAATGTTCTTGTGTTGGTAATGTGGCTGCTTTGCTTCTCACAAAACATTATGGTAAAATGGTTTTGTTCAAACTAAATGTAGTTTCTTAACCTTTCTGATTTTCCTCTCTGTAAACAAATGTCTTTTAGATTGAAAACTGTAACTATGCAGTGGAGCTCGGGAAGAACAAAGCCAAGTTCTCACTGGTTGGTATTGGTGGACAGGACCTCAATGAAGGCAACCCAACACTGACACTGGCATTGGTATGGCAGTTAATGAGAAGGTGAGGATTTCTCACTCCTTATGGGATACAAAAGCTTTTCCACCCAACAGGTTCTTCATCTGCTTGTCACTGAAAGTTCAATTTCATCTATAAAATGAAATAGCAAATCAGTTGCAAATACCATCTTCTTTCTATTGCAGGTACACTTTGAATGTACTATCAGACCTTGGAGAGGGGGAGAAAATAAATGATGAAACTATTATTAAATGGGTGAATCAAACTCTTACAAATGCAAATAAGACCACTTCAATAACTAGCTTCAAGGTAATGAAATTGTGCAAAGGAAGAAAATGTACATTAATTAGATACAGAATATTGATAGGAATATATTTATACCATAGACGCAATATTACTTCTTCCTTAAAGTGCCTGCAAAGGGGCTGCAAAATGTATCTGAGACTGCATGTGAAATCTCAAAGGCATACTATTTAAAAGAAAAGCACATGGTGATATAGATATAGGATTGTGCATGTCTGTATAGTTATTTGTAAAGGACCTTGAACTTTTATCTATGTATATATTTTCTGTTTAAACAAAAGAAGAAACATGTTCATAGAAAATGTAAGGTCTTTCTGCATGGCATGATGATTTAAATACAATAAGCAATCCTGAAACCCTCAAGATGATTTTCTTAGTGAACAATGTTAACTAATTGTCCCATTTTTTAGGTAGAGGTGAAGTTTGGGGGACTTTTGCAATTTGATGCTACAATAAAACTAACAGAGAGAACACATAATAACAAAAGGATTCAAAGAGAGAGTTAACAATATGACTAGCACAACTTAGAACCAATTTATGTTTCACAAAGGTATCAAAATTTGGGTAATATATTAAGAAATATTTGCTGAATAATAAAGAGCAAAATTATGGATGCTACTATTAGTTTTTACACAGCAGTATGAACAAGAGTTCTCTGTACTACAGCCCTTATTTCTATCAGCTGCAGTAGGATATGTGCATGCAACAGTGGCTGAAATACTGTGTGTGTACAGGCAGCTATGGAAAAGGTTTTCACATTTTGGTTGGCTGTCTATCTTGTGCATGGGCTGCAACCAGTTGGGAAACCCAGGTGTGTTGGAGTGCACAACAGACAAGAAGATTACACACACTGCTTGCATGATACCATCAAGGTTCTACCTATATTTATGACTGCAGTTTACAGACACAGCTATATATTCAAAGAGGCACCATCAAAAGCCATGCACATACAGGAGATTGTGCCAAAAATCATGACAGAAATTTGGCACATCAAAGGTTCACTCTTCAATAGCAATAGTTAGAATTAACTGGATTCTCTTTTTATAGCCTTATTTGAATGATTTGTCAGGTGTACCAAAATGAGATTATAATCCTTAGGACTATTTTCTAATGTAGATCTGCAGTAATTTAATATGTATAGTGCTCTGAAGATTAATTATTCATTAATAAAAATACAAGTGCCAAAGAAATTATGAAGAATTAATCTAAAATCTTCAGAGAGTTGATCAATTTCCTTCTGTCTTTAAAACTGGTTTCTTGCCACTAGAACATGGGGTGCACAAAGGAAGAGTACAGTAACTGAAGACTGACATGATCCACACTGATTGGTATTAAAACAGGAATTTATGGCATACAGAATTGAGATGCATTAGCTTAATAGTTCAAAGAGGACAAGCAGTTGCTGAGTTTAAGTGCACTGTATACATGGTAATATTTCTAGTATAGGCAGATACTGGAATTTCATTTTAGATGTCAGCAAATCTTGAACTTTAATCTACTAGAGGGAATAATATGCTGAGAATCTCAAGGAATAAAGCTATTTACATCATTCAGTTGGCACCTCCTGCTGCTTTCTCATGAACCAAACTGCCCATCTGCTTTAGCTGTTGGGAGGGGACTATAGCAGTACTATCTTCTATTTTAAGGCAGAGAGGACAAGAATCTCAGTATCCCTGGAACAAAATGTAGAGCTCAGAAGCAAGCTCAAGGTAGTATTTGGTTTCCGGCAATAAGTAGATTATGCCATTTATAAACAAGCAGAAGGAAGCCCTAATTACAGAAGAAAATCAACAGGCTGAAAATACAAACATGTGGAAATATTCTAGCAGATATAAAAGATTTCTAAAAACCATTGGATAGTATTTTTCTGTGATCAAGATGTTCTATAATGGATGACAACTGGGTGAAAAAAAGGAGTTTGTTATAAAATGTCAGCCAGTTGTCATGAAGGAAAAGATTCAGCAGTAAACTGTTTTAATAGTCTTTAATGGAACCATGTTATTCCAGCAATACATGAATGCAGCTTTTAATCCAGTGATATATACAGCTAACCATAGAATTAGGATTTATAGATTAGTAACAGTGGATAAAGAAAAAAACATATTGATACATACATTATAGAAAAAACAATTATTATTCATAATAAAGCATTTTAATACTTCTCCTTATAGGACAAATCCATTAGCACCAGTTTACCTGTACTAGATTTAATAGATGCCATTGCACCAAAAGCGGTCCGTGCAGAAATGATCAAGAGGGAAGACCTTACTGATGCAGACAAACTGAATAATGCTAAGTAAGTCCTTTTTGCACTTTTTCTTCTCTTATTAAACACAGAAAGACTATTCCAGCTCCCACTGCAAATGTCAAATAATATTCGCGGCTTAGTTATGCTAATCTGTTACAGCAAAAACAACGAACAACCCTGGACAACCTTGAAATATAACATTTTTGAGAAACCAAACTTTCATAGAGTAGAACTCTCTTTGTCAGAATTATGAAATGAATAATATTCTTTGCTAGCAGAGGTATTTTTGCATTTCATGTCTGTCAGCTTGTTTCTTAATTTCTAGGTAATGATACATAAATAATACTACATTGAATGGCAACCAGTGACCTTTAATGGGGAAATGCATATTCCTATCCACATCAAAAGAAGCATCCAATCCTTTAAATTATTATCACAGTAGTTTTGTGCACATACCAGTCTTCTACAAATGTGTCTCATGGACTAGAATGCTAGGAGCACTGATTCAAAACAAAGTGCAACTGCAATTGTCATAGGAGCTGTGCAAATCTTAGGAGCTTGTTGTGCTGAGAGACTTCATGTCCATGCTGACACCTAGTTTATCAGGAGCAGCTGAGGACATCATGGGTCTGTCCCAAGTGATACCTGACTTCATTTTGGACCTGGTTTTCTATGTCGGGCAGTAGAAGCTGATCTGAGTGTGGAAGAACACTCCAGTTCTATTCTCATGGACAGGTCACTTCTTGACGAGTTTTAGACTTGCTGGAACTTGTAGTCATTGTCAGGGTGGGAATCCTATTAATATAGTCCAACTCAGAAAGTTGATGGATCCAAATGGTTTCCTGACAACTCTTGAGGGATTTCCTGTCACCTTGGCAGGTGATCCTGTTGAAGCCCTGGTTGGCCACTGAAATGGGAAAGTGGCTGGGGCCATTGACACAGTCACTTCCTCTCCCATGGGGTGGAGGCAAAAGTGCCCCCAGTTTACTACAGAATTGGCCAGCTTCGCCCCTTCCTGGAATTATCTGACTTGCTTACATTGATACATGTTTTAGTTACATCCTGTCTGGATTACTGTAATGTGCTGCCTGCCCAATCACCCCCTTGCTGGCCTGGTAATCCCCCCTTGCTTGTTGCTCCCCCAGTTGGCCTGCCAATTGTCCCTTCACCAGCTCAGTTGCCCCCTGCTCACCCTCCTGCCTCCCTCCCTGCCCCTTTCCTCACCCTCTCAGGCATCTGTCCTCACATTCTCCCACCTTCAACCCTTGCCCCTTTTCCTCTTGTGTTTCTCCTTTCCCTTTCCGTTTTCCTTGCTGCCCCATGGCAGAAAGGTGAGAATGCACAGACTATCACAAAAAGTTTGGACTTGGGCTAAAATCCACATGATGTTAGACAGGATTCAAAAAAAGTGAGATCCCTCTGCCAGTTTATTCCAGAAGTGGGAAGAGGCCCATAGCCCAGCATTTAAACACCTTGTGCTAGTTTCTTTCTCTTTCCTCAAATACTACTACCCTCACATTAATGATGCAGTTCTAAATCAATCAGATGGGAAGCTATAGAGTATGTGAACACGGCCTTACAGTTTGCTGAAATATTTATAAAAATCCAATGTTTATTTTAAAAAGCTATAATAAATCAATAATTTGTAGTCAGCCGCTGTTAGTTTTAGTGTCATTAGTGACACCTAGATCTGTCTCTCTTTTTCCAGTTGTTATTTGAATTCCTAAATGAGTGTCTGGTGATAATTATGACCCAGATGAGAGCACAAACTAGATACATCAGACGGGATGATAGTGGGGAGTTTATTGGGTCAGATGTCTGGGTGTTCCGGGTGTGATAATTCTCTAAGATGCCAGGTTTGTAGCCTGTAAATACTTCTAGACCTGGCACTGCTGGTGGAATCTTAGATCATGATCTTGTCCTGGAACATATTTATTAGTTTTGGCTGATATGTGAACTGGAAAATAGAAAATCTGCTGACATTCATGCTCTGGTGGTTTATACACTGGATTATTATAATATGTTTTCCTGTTCTGCCTTCTATTTATTTATGCATTTACTTGCTGTGTTTTTGTTCTTTATTATATCCATTATTTTATGATCTATGATTCCAGTGTTGTAGTTTTACAGTCTTTATTGCATTTGGAAATTTTATATTGAATAGCTGTATCAGTTTTGTGCAACAAAGGAAGGTTGTTCAAAATACTAAACAACAGAGTTATATCTGTGCTGAAAATTGTTCAAAGATAGAGGAATTGCTGCTACAGCCCACATTTACTAAGCAATGCATGTTAAACAGACACAATGGCTGTGTTATTCTGTGGCCACTCTGAAAACCTGCTCAAGTACTGGGGTCCTTCTAAAACAGACTAAGACATTGTGGAAGGTAACATTAAGTTAGAAGGACTGGTAAAAATAGTCTAGCTTCCCAGGCAGAAACACATTCCATTAGGTAAAAGCTATCATTGGACGCAATGTAATAAAATTACTTTATCTCATCAATTAAATGATGCTTGATTAATAACATGCATATTTTCTTTTTTCTCTCCAAGATATGCCATTTCCGTTGCTCGAAAAATTGGTGCTTGTATATATGCCCTACCAGATGACTTGGTAGAAGTGAAGCCAAAAATGGTCATGACAGTGTTTGCATGCTTGATGGCAAGAGGACTGAACAAAATAAAATAAAGAAGTTTTTTTCATATTTTCTGCCATGTGAAACACAATGAATGCCTCATTGTTTACAGACTAATGCAATTTAGTAGCTGTAAAACAAAGATAATTTATATACATAAATGTGCAGATGTATAGCAAGATTATTTAAAAAATAAGTGTTTATATAAGATTTCATCTGATATGTTTTATATTTATTACTAAATTGTGAACTAACATTACTAACACAATGCAATAATTACACTCAGAATTACAGCATTATATAGCCTTTTAAACCGGTACAATCTGTGTTGTTTTCTTAGTGCAAAAATTATCAGACTTAGCAGTTTTAGTAGCTAGTGTGAAACTAAGATTCTGCTTACTGTGTTATTAACATGTACTTTTATGCATGTGACACCTTTGAAGTCTGATGTCGTTTTGTTCCAACCCTATTATGTTGATCAAAAAATCAGTGTCCTTGTCTTACTGTATGATGGACTGTTCAAATTTCTATTGCTATTTGGGTACAAATTAAAAGAAGCAAATTATAACTAACCTAATATTCAGTAAGTTTCACTGCACGGCACTTCTTTCTGAGTAAAAAACTTCACTATTAATTTAGCTGGTAGGTTAATAGCTTAAAACCATACTTCATTAATTGGAGAGGTACAGTTTGACTCTTGAAGATACAGTATATTATATTTTCTGGAGTTGCTAGGTAATAAAAACCTATTAATATTTGAGGGCTATTTGGTGTTAGAGTATTACTGTACTTTGACATGGAAAATAAAATTTTAAACAAAGACCGGCATAGCCATAATACACTGATATATGTGAATGAGGGGCAGGATCACAACTCCTTTATTAAAGTCCCCTCTGTAACACAGCTTTCCTTGTGATTAATACTGTAGTTATTTCAATATTCTTAACTGTGAGTAATGATAAGCAAAATTTGTAGTTAATCTTGCTTGAGGTGGAAGATGGATTCATAAGGGACTGTTGTTGATTGTAAGCTTTAATCATGGATGAGGACAGTAAGAGAAGGATAAATGGAATTTCTTGTGGAGAACTTTGAACATATAACCCATTGGCTCATCTTCCAACTGTGTAAACTTGATTGAGGAATTTAGTTTTTGTATTTTACACTTCCTTTAGTCCTCCAAAAATGCATGTGTACTGAGGTTATGGTAGTATGAAAACTTCCTTAAATTTACAGTGCATCATTATATACAATTTATGGTGGGGTAGGGTGACACATCATAGTACAGAGATACTATTAAAAGATAGCTGATTAATTCAAGTATTATTATTTTTATTGGATTGCAACACTGATATTACAGGCAAAACTTGCTACTTGAATGAGTTATTAAATTAATCCATTGAGAATTTTACTGTAGAAATCTGTAATATCAAGCAACTATTCATGAAGGAGGGGACGTGTAGGTTATACCGCAGAAGCCTCTATGATGCAAGGTCGGAAGACCAGCAGTCATAAGATCAAATCTACGCGATGGATTGAGCTCCCATCGCTTGTCCCAGCTCCCGCCAACCTAGCAGTTTGAAAGCATGTAAAAATTCAAGTAGATAAATAGGTAGTACCACAGTGGGAAGGTAATGGTGTTCCATGTCTAGTCACGCTGGCCATGTGACCATGGAAACTGTCTATAGACAAACGCTGGCTCTGTGGCTTGGAAATGGCAATGAGCAACCCCCTTAGAGTCGGACATGACTGGACTAAATGTCAAGGGAAATCTTTACCTTTATTCATGAAGGAGAAAAAACAAAATAATTGTTAAGGTTTGTAGGCTAGAATAAAGCACAAGTATGACAATAGCAACAAGCAAAACAAAAATTATTTATGAAGTAAGCATTGCAATCAGAGTAAATATCTTAACTTTAAAAATGGTATATTGTAAGCAATAAAAGAGATATGGGTTCTGTTTGGGGTATCATTTTACATGTGATGTACTTTGTTGTAAATGTTTTTAATATGTGTGTGTTTTCTACTGCTGATTTTTACAAGAAATGTGTATTAACTCAGTACCAGTTACCCTAATTTTTTTTAAAGGGTCATATCTGAAACTGAACACACATTAATCAAATTTAACATCTTGCTTTAGCTGACATGTATTTTTGTTCAAATGTTTTAGCATGCAGGTTTTTTAAAATTTCATCAGAAAGCATATATATTCAGCTTCCTAATCACAGCCTATTAAAAACCATACTTATTAATAAGATAAAACCACAATTAATCAACTTTTCCATCTGAGTTTTTTTAAATAATTGGGAGTGGAAATACAATTAAACCAATTATACACAGAAGGTGGGAGTCACACTGTGATAAATTGTGGTAATAACAGGGTGCTACATATGGAGATTCTAGGGAAAAGGTGATATGGTACTAGAGAAAAAAAATCTAATGCATGGACAGTGTCACTGAAGCTACCAACATGAATTTGACCCAACTCCGGGAGGCAGTGAAAGACAGGAGGGCTTGGCGTGTTCTGGTCCATGGCGTCACGAAGAGTTGGATATGACTTAATGACTAAACAAATAAAATAATAACCCATTTGCAAACTATATTGTAGTACAAAAGGGCAAGAATGTCATGTACTCGTATACTCATATGTTCTCATTTTAAATCAGTGGTTCCAAACCTTTTTTGAATCATGATCCCATTTTATGATAGCCAACCCCTCTACCACATTTGCACAAAAAGGCATTTTTGATGGGATAAAGTCATCCCTTCTCAGAAAGCAAAACTTCTTATTCCTCCAAAGGACCTGTTTCTCATACATACACACACATGCAAACTTTAATACCCAGCACTGAAAGGTCAATGAAGAAATTATTTATCAAGGTCTGCAACACTTATAAGACAACCCATTAAATGACAGAAAACACTTTGCAACCCCCTTGAGTCCACAATCTCCAGGTTGGAAAACACTGTTTTAAATGCTGAAACAATGAGTTCAGTTGCTTCTCATCAATACTAACATTTCCCTCAATTGTGACATTCAAAGATAAAATGGCTGAAGAAAAACTATTTCCAAATTGCACATATCCCAGGAACCATAAAAGTATCCACTAACATAGGATACTCCTTTATGCTGAGTTGGACCTTTGGCCCATCTGCCTCAATATGATCATCTCTGACTAGCAACTCTGAAAGCCCCCCAGGTTTCAGATGGGAGATCAGTGATGTCCCTTGGTGATCTGCCATCCAAGAACTAAGTAAGCCTGAGCCAATATAGATTTAGAAATCAGAAAAGTGATGTGTTTAGCGATATGGCGCTAAATGATGACTCCCAATGCCAAATTACATTATCCTTGACTTCGTATCATTAGCCCACATATTGAATAAACACAGTGAAACATCTTAACCCAGAAGACCAAAATTTGTGTGAAAGTATGCTGAGACAGTTACTTTGTTTAGGCCATATCAGAATCTGTGCAGTTAAGTCAATTTGTACATTTTAAGACTGTGTCCAAAGAGACACTGTTTCACAGCAAAACTACTGCTGAATGCATGATTTAAACTGAAGACAGGCCACAGGAGTGCTAATAGCTGAAAAATGAAATAGAGGAAAGGGTAAAGACCAGCCTAGGCCTTTGCAGCTTTGAAAGTTACTTTAAGCATCCCACCATCACTGCTAAGTCATGTCTAACTTTGACAAGTCCACCACATTCATTTTGCCTTCACCTCCTTTTCTCAGCCCAATTTAGAATACCTCGCTCCAGTTGTTTTAAAAAATTGTGCATACTGATTTTATTTATCTACTTTTATCATACTTTTAAGCGGCCTTGGAAGGATTTCTGTCATGAAAGACAAGATACAAATAATTTTAATTTTAAAAAACCAGTTAGACAGGGGCATGGCTGTGACATATGAGTATTTCTTTAGAGCTATTGTTATATCTGGTTGAAAAAGTACAGCAGGTTTCTTAAGCAATGCAAAAATTGGAGACATTATGTACCACAAACATACCATGATATCAGCTCCAACACTGAAAAATCATTTTCTGTCCAGCCCAACTGTTCTTCCCTTTGAGTTTTCTATTGTCTAGGACCCAAGTTGACAAGCAAGAAGCAATCTGGGCTTTGGATGGGCCTTAACTAAACCCGCCTAGAATTTCCAGATCTGCAAAATCAGTTTAGGATACAAAGGGCCACATTTCTCACACTGGCCTTTCTTCATAAACTGGGGTCTGTGGACAAAGGAGGGTGCTATCTGGGCATCCTTTGGGCAACTACGTGCCTGGTTTATTCATAATAAACTTTGAAGGGCTGCTCTTAAATATAGTGGCAATTGACTCCCTCACGCCCCCACTTTAAAAGTGGTGGACTTGTGAAACAGGAAAGAAAGAACAGGCGCTGTTTTTTTTTAAAGAAATTAGAGAAATTCTTGGATAAAATATTCAAATATCACCAATTATCGCCCTCCTAAATATAATTAAGAATGACCATCTTAAAAAAGAACAGAAAGACCCCAGCAGCTTTTCTTAGAACAGAGACAGATATGGTGTCCATTAAATCCAGGGCAACTCTAGCTATGCTCTCTTACTACTGTACTTACTATACTTACTCTTACTATATACTCTCATTTCTCTTTAATTTATTTTTACTCTATTTTCTTGGTTTCCACATTTTCATTTGTAGATTTATGTAACTGTGTTTTTATTAATTGTTTGTATTATATTGGAAGCCACTCAGAGTGGTCACATAGACCAGATGGGCGGGATACAAATCAAATCAAATCATCAAACAAACAAACAAACAAACAAATACATAAATAAATATGCCCCACCACTGTCTACCTAAACGTAGAGCAATGGAAGAGTGGCGGTTGGGGAACTTCAGTTCAAACCCTACTAAAATCTAAATCCCTATCTCCAGATATTTTTTTTTTCTGGGGCTAAAAGAATATTGAGGGACTGGATCTACAAATTGGATAATGACCAGGACTTATCCTTAACCCACTCTTCAAATTTCTCTCACTGGTAGCATCTGCTGAAAACAAACCACTCAAGGGTGCAATACTTACATACACTTACTTTTCCCTCCTTGAGAACCGCATTCACAGAACTCCATTACCAAACCATGCCAACCGCTGTCTTAGATGGCAGGTACATGAATGTCCCCAAGCATCTAAGGCTGTGTATTTGCAGAGCAGGTGAGATAGAGGATGTTGTCCACTATTTACTCAACTGTCAGGTCTATCAAAACCCCAGAGAAAAATTCCTGGGAAACATTTTGGCTGCTCTACAGGAGGAAAGCACTCAAAGGTGGTCAGGTTACTTTTGGATTGTGACCCATATATTACATACAGAACAGTGCTATTTGCAAAAGCAGCCAGAAACATTCGTGCTAATTTCCTGAGAGCCATTGCGATCAATTGTGCGGGAGACTCCCAGATATGAATGGTCTCTTATTATTTTATATGTCTGTGATTTTATTTGATTGTATTTGTATTTTAAACAATTGTGACTGCTTTTAGCTAATACAATAAACTTAAACTTGGACTTGTTATAATGGTCACAGTAGCAAGATTAACATTTGCAAAGAATTGGAAACAAATTAATCTTGAAGACTGGTATAAAGAAATGTGGAGCTTAGCAACTAAATGATACGTTAACATGTGAAATGAAACTAATAAAAGGGAATGACAAAGCCTAATGATTTCAAAGATATGCATGGAATTTATATTTGGAGCATGTCTTTTTGAAAGGGAAAGGTTATAGGCCTGCAGAAGAATCAGTGCGTTTTTGGAGTGAAATGGGGTGAAAAGTTCCAAAATGATACCTTTGGTTACCTAGTCCAGAGGGTGAGGGTGGCACAGGTGGGGAAGGTTAAAAAACAAACCAAAAAAAGGGGGGAAGTGCAGGTGTAGTTAAAACTATCCTTAAGCAGATCCTAGACGCGGAAGCCGGTTCTCTCCCCGACCCCTCTTTTCCCCAGCCCCGCTCACCCCCAGAGGGAAAGCCCAAGGCAGGCGCTTCTCAACCCCTCAGGGAGAAACCTTTTTTTGGAAGTCACTTCATACGCAGGAAAGAAAACGGAGCCTTTTGCGCGTGCGCCGAGGGCGGCCTCATCGCCTCCACCCTCCCAATTTGACAGCTCCGCCATCGCCCGCTCTTTCCCTCGGCTCCCCTCCAGGCGCTCGGGTGCCGGCGGATGAAGCCGGTGGGTCGCCGGCCTTAGCAGGTTGAGGGAGGAGGTCCCTGGGAGAGGCTTCTCCTGATGGGCCTCAGCCCGGAGAAGCCGGCGCGATGGCTGCTCTTTACCAGAGCGCCGACCCCTCGGCCTCGGCTTCCCCGAACAAGCTCCTGGCGCTGAAGGACGTGAGGCAGGTGAAGGAGGAGACCACCCTCGACGAGAAGCTTTTTCTGCTGGCTTGCGACAAAGGTCGGTCGCCTTTTCCCCTCCTCCGGGGTTGGCTTCCTACGGACACCGTGAAGGGAGAGGCGGGGAAGGGGGGGGGAAGTGTCTTGGTCGTCCCTCGGCCTCGGCTTCCCCGAACAAGCTCCTGGCGCTGAAGGACGTGAGGCAGGTGAAGGAGGAGACCACCCTCGACGAGAAGCTTTTTCTGCTGGCTTGCGACAAAGGTCGGTCGCCTTTTCCCCTCCTCCGGGGTTGGCTTCCTACGGACACCGTGAAGGGAGAGGCGGGGAAGGGGGGGGGAAGTGTCTTGGTCGTCTCGTCGCCTGGAGGAGACCCCCCACGGGGATGGGGGGCTGAGGATGCAGGCCTCCCTCTCGGACCCCCTTCCTTGGGCACATCGAGCCCCGGTCACGCCTTCAGTCCCCAAAACAGGTTGGCTGGAAGCTGGCAGTCCCTGGTCCTTTTAGGCATCTCGATTGTGTCGCTACTTGATGAGGACAGGATTTGTATGTGTGCATGTGCGTGTGTTTTTAAGAGGCACGGAATTGGTATAGATTTCTCTCCTACTCCCAGCATCACCGATTCTTAGGAAAACAGCACTTCCTCCTTTTCTTCTGTTTTTATGGAGTAAAAGTTGCCCACCCCCAAAGAGTGCTGGTTGAAAGATTACATGCTCAAGAGTTTTATTAGCTTATAAGGTCAAGTGGGAGCGCGTGGTCCTCAAGTATCAGACAAGAAACAAAACAAAATTAAAAACAAAAACTCTGCTGCCTCTTAAAGACTTAAATGCTATATTATAATGGTCCTAACTAGAGATGGTGGAGGGTCCGGCCCCCACGCTGCCACTCCTGGCAGAGACGCTTGTCATCCTGCCTCCTGCCAGGAGTGGCTCAGCAATCACGATCTCTGGAGTGATAGGACGATGGGAGCGTGGACCCTGCGGTGTTAGCGCATCAGTGAGTGGGCCATCTGGCCCCACGGGGCCGAATCTTCTACCTGTGCAGGGGTATTCTCTAGTCCTAACATGTTGGTGTTCTTCAAAGATTTGTTCTTCCAAATGCATGGATTTATTTGTAAAAGGGATAGGAAAGAATGGGTTTGGGGTCAGGCAAATGCAAGTTAATAAAACTTAAAGAAAAGAAAGACCACTAAGACTTATTTTGATTGTGATTACGACGATGTGCTTCGAGTGTATATTAAGGAATTTTGCTTGGCTAGATCAGACATCTGAAGGACTAGGTATAACTGTGCACTACTTTTAACTTTGCAAACACACTCCTTACCGCTGCAAGGACCAGAGCATCTGGGAGCCATGAATCTGTGTTTTCAAGGGGAATGTAACATCTCTGTCTTCTCCGGATTAAGCTTCAATTTATTTACCCTCATCTAGTCTGTTACTGTCAGAAGACTTGGGTTTGGAACCAAAAAAAGATCCCCCAGAATTGGATGCAAAGGAGAAATAGAGTTAGACATACTCGTAGCACTAAATTGCAAAACTCTGGACAACCTTCTCCAGTGGTTTCCTGTATATATTAGCACGGGGGACAGAAGAGAACATTGAGGGATACCACAAGCCAACAGTCAGGGCATCAAGCAGGTTTTTTCCCCACTGCCCCACTTCATAAAAAGATTTTGACTTTTTATGAATGACTGGAGCCAGTGCAAAACAATACCAGAAAAAACACCCAGAGGCATACTATGGTTGATGATTTTGCAAACCACTGAAAGTTTTAGCAGAAACAACAGGAATACATTTCACATCTCTAATTTCCAGAATAGGAAATCCACCAAGGTTGCTGCTATATAATCAAGCCTGAAGCCATATTGAAATAGTCTAGATAATTTCTCCCATCCTATACCTGAGAAGTCACCACACTCCAGAACCTTGCCTAAAAATGTTTCAGACAAGCTGTTATCCAATACTGTGGGATTCAGATAGGGGTTTTTCCACATTATTGCTTTTTTTAAGGCAGGCTGGAATTCTGCCTTGCTCTAGGGCAGGGGTGTCAAACACAAGGCCCTTAAAAATGTTTCAGACTAGCTGTTAGTTATCCAATACTGTGGGATTCAGGTAGGGGTTTTTCCACATTATTGCTTTTTTAAGGCAGGCTGGAACTCTGCCTTGCTCTAGGGAGAATTCACCAATCCCTAAACTCAGTCAGTTCCCGCAGCTACTTTTATGAACCTGGAAAGACAAGGACCCAGCATACACATGATGGCTCTCCTCTCCTAGTATACTGTCCACATCCTCAGGCTGTACAAACTGGAACTTATCTGTTAGCACAGGATTAGCAGTGGTCAAAGTTACATTCACAGGACCTGTGTCAACTGCGGTGTCAAAATCAGAATGCACTTGAGCAATTTTACCTGTGAATTATCAGTCACATTCTTCACAGCAAGCTAATGAGTTTTCTGCACTCTCTTCCACAACATAGTGGATCCTTGATCACTTGAACAGCTTTGTTGGAAAACCCTTTGCAAACTCAGCGATGGCAGAAAAGGACTTATTTGCTGCCACCACTGCCACAGAGTAGGCCTTCCAGTGGACTCTAGGCTGTGTTTGGTTGCATCTGCTGTGAGTTTCCTGTCATTGTTGCTAGTCTGTGTCCCACTTGCTTAGTTGCTGCCAGCTCCCTATGAAGCAAGTTTGGTTCCACTCCATGAGAAGAAACACGTAAGAGTTATTGTATCTACCACCTTGACAATTTGCTTATTTCAGAGGTCAGCCAGGACTTTGAGAGGGCTGTTTGTGGAGTGAAGAAGTTCCCCAAGAGCTGTCAGGAGATCTTTTGGATCCATCAGTTTCAGGGGCAAATCATCTTAATTGAACCCCTTCAAAGTCTTTGAGTTTCAGTGAATCTGAATCCCACCATATTATTATTGAATTCTCACTTTCGAACACTACAGATAGTTCTACACCCAGATCACTAGCTTCCCACCCAAACAGGAAAATAAGTCTGCTGTGTGCCCTGCAGCATGCGTGGGGGCAGATAACCATTTGGGATGCACCCATGATTGTAATGGCAGGTGTGAAATCTTGAACCTGACAAGACATAGATGTTGAAATTCTCCAGCACAACAAGCCAAGGAGACTCCAACACCATCCCTGAGACTAGTTTGGTTAGCCTAGGGAGTAAACTGTTTTGCATCAGTATAGGTGGTACACCTTGCTGCACATGCAGATAGCTCCCAGTATAATATTTGCAAATTACAATACCCTGGTGTACTGAAACAGGTCTTTGTACATTACTGGTTTAGGTGACTATTACATGGTGAAGAAACTTTTGGAGGAGAATAGCTCTGGTGAAATGAACATAAATTGTGTGGATGTGCTTGGAAGAAATGCCATTACCATAACAATTGAAAATGAGAATCTAGACATCTTACAGCTTCTCCTGGATTATGGGTGTCAGGTATTGTGATCTTACTTCATCACTACCACCATCACCACCATTATCATCATCATAACAACAACCATCACAATCTGTTTGCAGTTTGGTTTATTTTTATTTGATCTTTCAGAACAAGACTATCTGTGTTGGCTCTATATTTTATTTGTAACTTTAAAATGTATATTTTTTCCAATAGTATTTAGTCTATTATTACTTCTTTAATTTTCTTCAGTCTGCAGATGCACTCTTGGTGGCTATTGACTCAGAAGTTGTGGGGGCTGTGGATATACTACTTAATCATCGACCAAAGCGAACCAGTAGACCAACAATTGTTGTTAGTATTTGTTTAAATAATTGTACAACAGTACAACTAAGATCTCTTTGGTGTGTGTGTGTGTGTGTGAGTGTGTGATAGTGGGAATGTTTTGAGCAGATTTTTTTTCACTGTAAGATTAGATTTTTCAAAAAAATTGGTAATCAGTGGATTGAATTGTAGATCATTAGACTCAGGGATGTCTTAAAACTGACTGGAAGCCTGATAGTGAACTTGATGCATATAGTAAAATGAAAACTGTACTTATTTTTTTGTCTATCTTGTAGTATGAAAAATCATCTCCAAGGCTAGTCTTCAAAGTGGTTTTCTCTTAAATTTTAAATTAAATTTGAGGGACATACCAGCTTTTTCAGTTTTAAATGATCACTTGTGAATGAATTGTCCAATGTTTACATTTTTCATCATTTTAGATACTCTTGTTTAATGTGATAGGCCTGTGTACATGTGTGTGGTTGGATTGTATCTATGGAAGGAGAAAAAGGCATAAAGCAGTGCATTAGGGCTCAGTCTACTCAGTGATGGTTATGGCATATATATAGGGCACCTGTGGAGCCCATGAGCTGCTCAAGTGTTGTTGATATGTCCAGCTGCCCAAAGACCTCTTCTTTTCCCAGCAATCAGAACTTGCAAATATGTTGTTCTTATGCTGCTGCAATCTTGATCGCTTCTAGTTCTTCTCCCCTACAAATAGTCTCAATGCAGCCAAGACTGATGTTGCTAAGCATCTCAGACTAGCTTTGATTCCAATATTAGTAGCTGTGAGAAAACAAGGATCTGTTAAAGGATCATTGGGGGAGCAGGCTTTAATTTTTTCACCTCCCAGGGTTTCTGCTGTAGAGTTCAGATGCCACTATTTCTCTGCTGCTGAAACAACAGTAGAGAAACATGACTTTAATTGGTTGCTGGGGGAGAGGTTTTCAAATGCTTTTCCAGTATATCCCCTGATGTTAGCAAGTAGTGGGAGAGATTTAGACCTCCATATGCCTACACAATGAGAGGGAAGACCATACATGTTTGTGTCTCTGTGTGTGTCTGCATGTATTTATGCATGCATGCATATTGAGCTCCTAGCCCACTACATGGCACCACATGTGACTCTAGGGGGAAAAGTTTGCTCAGTCCTGTCTTATGGTAGGGGTGCTTATTGAAAGCCCTATAGACTTTTAAAAAATTGAATGAAGGCAACTGTTCAATTATTGTTTGAATCTTTTTATTCAAACTAAAAGCACAAAGGAAGGTCTATCATGTAAAAGTCCTCCTACTGCCACAGGCTAACTATCATGTGTCCATTCACACTGGTTGCAAGATCAGTCCTGCAAATGGTCATGCATCAGCAAGCTTGCTGGAGTAGGGGAGGGCTTACTCTGTTGCTCTTCCACTCTGCATTTAGGCAATAAGATGTTGTCCATAATGTTTAAATGGTCTTCACTTTGGTTTCTCAACAGTCATTTCAAGAGATGCCTCTATTAAATTGTGTTGTGGAGAAAACAACATGTTCAGTTATATTAATTTATGTGTTTTTGAATGTAAAAAGAACAAAACTTCGAGAAATACATTATTTATGGATTCAGAATAATGATCTAGATTTTGAAATCTGAGCTAATAATCTTTTATTTATTGTTATTTTATTTTCTGCAACTTCTCTCTTCATTGCAGAAATTAATGGAACGTATTCAGAATCCAGAATATTCAACAACCATGGATGTGGCCCCTGTAATTTTGGCTGCACATCGAAACAACTATGAAATCCTTACTATGCTGTTAAAACAAGACGTGTCACTACCCAAACCTCATGCTGTGGGCTGTGAATGCACTTTATGTACAGCAAAGAACAAAAAAGATAGTTTGCGGCACTCCAGGTTACAGCAACTATTCTTTATTCATGCATACAGTTTTCCCTTATTTTTCCATAGCACTTCCAAAGAACTTAGTTTAGGTTTTTGAACATAGAAAGCTGATACTTTTTTCCCTTTCAGCTTATTATTAATTTGTTAACATACGGTGTATGTGGGCTGCTGGGTTTGTAAAAATGTTTTTGGAGAAAAATTGTTGACAAAAAATGTCTAGATATAAGTGATGAATTCCTATGTTGAAGCAACATTCATATAATATAATAAATATTGAAAAGTATGTCTATTGAATTGAGACTAAGCTTATACCATTTTCTTAGTAATTTAGATCACCACATTATTTGAGCATATGAAATTCAGCAGGTTTTCCTATCATACTGTTTCATTAATTTACATCTATGAACTGGATAAATAGCTCAGAGTATTTGGCTATGGAGCAAGAGGTTGGGAGTTTGTTTCCTAACTGTCACTCCTGGGAGAACAGCCAGCTTGTGTAGTAATGGACAAACTGCACAGTCCCAGTGCGCTTCCAGAAGAAGGGAATGGTAAACCACTTCTGAGTACTTTCTATGTAGAAAACTCTGAAATAGAGTTGTCATAAGTCAGAATCAACTTGACAGCATGGGACTGTAATTTAGGAGGAAGAGCATAAGGTACTCAATTGTCTTGGTGGACATGGTGTTTAATATATATATGTATACCACACCTCTAGTGCTAAGCAGACTGCAAGTAAACTGTGTTGTTCAACTTTTTAATCACAGATTCCGACTTGACATCTACCGATGTTTGGCTAGTCCTGCCTTAATAATGTTAACAGAAGAAGATCCAATTCTGAGAGCCTTTGAGCTAAGTGCAGATTTAAGAGAACTTAGTCTTGTAGAGGTTGAATTCAGGTATGAATAAAGACTCACCTTGTATTACTCTTCCATTTGCAGTATTGTGTTTCTAAGTACTGTGTAACTGGTTTTGTTTACATAACAAGTGGGTCAACAAAATCAAAACTATAAACTGTAAATTACATGAAAACATTTACAGTGCTGTCTTAATACATCTTGAATGCACTTCCACTGTTTGATAGACCCTACTCCTTAAGTAATGTGTTTGCATTGGCAACTTCAGTCTGTAAGTAATAAAATGTCATATTATTAAGTACTGTATAACTGGTTTTGTTTACATAACAAGCGGGTCAACAAAATCAAAACTATAAACTGTAAATTACATGAAAACATTTACAGTGCTGTCTTAATACATCTTGAATGCACTTCCACTGTTTGATAGACCCTACTCCTTAAGTAATGTGTTTGCATTGGCAACTTCAGTCTGTAAGTAATAAAATGTCATATTATTAATGAATGAGAACCAATTGTAAATATTTGCTGAAGGCCAACTGTTTTAAGTCAAGCGCATGGAACTGATTTGGAGAGCACTTCAATTACTTTAGAGATTCACAGCAGCTATATCAACTGTGGCATAATCTGCAATTGAACATCTTCAGTTTTTAAGGAACTGCTGTGCTGCTTTTGTTTCAAATGCAGTAGCTTCCCTGTAGTAAATTAATAGTGCACTGTACCCACAGTATTTGTGGTTTAGTCCCTGCTGCATGGCAATAACTTTAGTGGGAGGAGAACTACCCGACTCTGTTTTGAGAAGTTTCAGTCCTGTTAAATAATGTAAAAGCAATTGTATCAAATTTTGAGAAAGGACAGCATGCTAGTTGCTTCCCACCCTTGTTACTGGTCCTGTTGCCCTCCTGTCAGTGGATGGTCTAAAGCAGAAATCTTCACTGTTCATAAAGACTTTCCATGAGAGTTGGAACCCTTAGTTTCCAAAGACAGCAAACTTGTCTCATGAATAGTGGAATCTTTACACTTCAGATGTGTCGCCATCCATGCATAGGCAGGAACTGGAAGCAATGATGGGGGATAGATCCAGTATGCTTTCCCTCCTCATAGGTTGATACAATATGTTTTTAAACAACTGAATAGGATTTTAGTTACTGAATGATCTTATCCTTATATGTAAACAAAGAGCCACAAACTAGTGCACTAGCTGTGCCCATTTCTTGAAAAGTCTGATCTGGCCATGATAACACATGCCCTAGTTGCATCTCGGTTAGATATACTGTAATGCACTCTATGTAGGGCTGCATTTGGAAAGTGTTTGGAAACTCCAATGGGTCCCAAATGCTACAGCCAGATTACTAACTGGGGCTGGTAACAGAGAACATATAGTGCACCCATTACAGCAGCTCCATTGATTGCTGATCCATTTCTGGGAAACAATTCAAAGTGCTGGTTTTAACCTATAGGTCAAAGCTATCTAAAAGACTGCATCTTCCTCTATGAACCTGCCTGGACATTAAGATCATCAGAGTAGGCTTTTCTTGGTCCTGCTACCCTTACAGGCATGCTTCATTGGGACACAGGAGAGAGTCTTCTCTGTCACTGCTCCCGCAATTCTCTCCCATGGGAAGCTAGGCTGGCCCCATCTTTGCTGTCCTTCTGCAAGAATGCAAAGACCTTCCTCTTCAGATAGGTTTTTCCTTAGTGATTGGTAGCCCGAGGTTTTTTTAAAAAATGGATTGTTGTGCTCTGTTGTTTTTAAACTTTTTGTAGTATTACTTTTATTTACTGTTTTTAATAAACTGTAATCCTTGCTTAATTCCTTTTTAAATACTGTATTTGTATACTTACTGTTTTTAGCTTTTAAATATTGTCTTTTAATTGTGGTAAGCAGCCTTGGATCCTTTTAAAGAAAAAAAGCAGAGTAAAAATATTCTTTTTAAAATACAGATATTTATTTCATTTGTCTATCTTTTCTTTAAAAAGACAATTCTGCAGTGAAAAAAGCGTGTAGTATGCATCATAAAAGAAATGCAGAGACTACACAAAGAATTCATTTAAATTATATGATATCTTTAAACTTTTGTTGGTGATTTAATTAATTCATTTAAATTGCTTTTATTTTAACTTAATCAAGTCCATTATTTGGTTTAGGTTCAGGAAGGACCATTGTTCTTTTAAGCTAATTTTAGCACCAAAAGTAATTAATATCCATTACCTTCTGTATTTCTTAGAAACGATTATGAAGAGCTAGCCCAGCAGTGTAAAACCTTTGCTAAAGATTTGCTTGCACAGGCACGGAATTCTCGGGAGCTTGAAGTTATATTGAATCATACAGCAAGTGATGAGCATGTGGATAAACGTGGACTGTTAGAAGAGAGAATGAATTTGAGTCGCCTAAAGCTTGCTATTAAGTATAATCAAAAGGAGGTATTTATTGTTGTTGTTATTATAGTACTTAACCAAAATGTACAGAGGAAGTCAACCAGTTTTGCACAGTTGCCTGCTTAGTTACACTGCACCATATTTCTGTTGGCTGATAATATGCAATGGTACTACAGCTCTTATTCCTAAATTGCATCAGTTGACTGGTGCTCAAAATATTGTGCAATATTTAATGTTTAAAATTTAAAACATTAACATTTAAAATAATGTTTTTACCTTACGAGGACGCGGCAAAATTCTGACATCCGAGATATGTTTGAAAAGATTGCTAGTCATTTGAATGGAAAATCTGCTCCTCTCTTGTTGCTGTGTGCCCCGTGTGATACTGTTCAGATAATTTGGCATAGCATAGTTATGGGTAGAATTATTTTAAGGTTTGCTTAACTGTCTGTAGTTAATAGCGCCATTGCTGAGAGGTAATATGAAATGTTAATTATTGAACTCCTACTGCAATGTACTTATTTTTGCCTGTATTCTTACTAGAATGAACAAAGCTTGAATATTGAGTATATTGGCTATTGTAGAGAGTGTCTATTCATATTTAAAAAACCTTTTCCTTTTGCAGTTTGTTTCTCAGTCTAATTGCCAGCAATTTCTCAATACTGTCTGGTTTGGACAGATGGCTGGTTACCGTCGCAAGCACACATTTAAGAAGATTTTGACAGTCTTGACTGTTGGCATCTTTTGGCCACTGCTCTCTGTTTGTTATTTACTAGCGCCAAAATCTCGAATAGGTCGAATAATTCATACTCCTTTTATGAAGTTTATTATTCATGGAGCTTCATATTTCACATTTCTACTGTTACTTAACTTATACTCAGTTGTGTACAATGAAGATAAAAAAAACACAATGGGACCAGCATTGGAAAGAATAGACTACCTTCTTATCCTTTGGCTTATCGGTAAGTATAACATGGATACAAAATAAATCCTCATCTTCAGTAATGTTATGTGATTAGAAAGCAAAACATTGCCATTAAACGTGAACATCTCTATAATCTTAATTTGGCATATTGTTTTTAATGTGGATGATATTTTGTTATTTTTTAAACAAACCATGCACAGTTTCAAAGTATTTTTCTAGTGATTATATAATCTGGGCCACTTTGACATTAAGCCTGCATATATTTTAGAATCACTATATTAGTCGAGGCATTGATTTTCAATTAAATAAAAAGGTGTGCTCTAAGTGCAATGTAAATATTTAATTAAATAATACCAATTAGAAAATGGTTTTGCTTTGAAAAGCCCTTTATATGAACTGAAAAGGTCTAATTTCTGTATTGATATACTGAGAAAGTGACCAATGTATGATTCACAATCAGTTGAGATGTGATGTGAGCACCCATAATTATTTGCTTGTTTGATATTATTCCATATATAAAAGTGTATTATGGTGAAACAGAGCTTCTACAGCAAAAGTGTATGGGTAACAGAAAGGAGATCCCAACTTTTTCTTAGCTTCTCCCTTGTTCTATTGTGGTAGGAACTTTCTCACTCCCCAGCTATGCTATTGGAAATGAGCCAGACTGTGAAGAAAGGTGCCTGAAGTAATAAAAATAAAGCAGAAGGTGGTAAAGCAGAAGAAATAACTGTGTGTCCCACTACAATGCTATGTATTTGTGACATGGACTACGTCACAGTATTAGTGCTGTCTCCCCCTGGTGATTTGAAAGAACAGTTAGTGATATGCTGGCTGGGGGATTCTTGTAGCTTGAAGTATAACTTTTACATGCTTCATTGTTAGATGAGGAGAGAGATGGCAGAATGAATGGAGCCTGAGTACTGACATTAAGTATGCACAGTTCAGTTTCTATAAGAATGCCAACCATCTTTCAGAAACAGTTGTAGATTATTTGGAGCAGTGACAATACCAGCAGAGGGAGCACTGGCTACAACTTTTCAGCATTTTTCTCTTTAAAATACATGCACTAACCCTTGCTTGTATTTTCTGGATATAAATTAAACAACCATTCTTATGTTTTTGTTTTGCTACAAATGCTTAAATTAATTCTAGGGAAGGCCTAATCTTTAAATGGTAATAACATGATATTCAAGATTTTCTTAGTTGCTTGAACTTTGGTATATTGCTACTACAGACAGAGGACCTGTAAGTTTTTGTGTTGCATGTTTGGAAATATTTAAATCTATTAATACCTTCAAAGATAAAATGGTTCTAGCGAGTGATGGCAAATATGTATGACAGAACCTTCATTAGAAAAAAGTAGAGACATCTAGGGTCTTTCTCTATGACTTGACAGAAAAACTGGAATATGATTAGGTAGTAAGGGACAAACAAATCACATAACTTTACTTCTTGTGAATTCATGGCTTGATCCAAAGACTGTTGCACTAGCAAACAAATGCTTTGTCATTATGGTCTCGGTGATAACAACACATGGGTTCTGCACATGCGCATTCCAAATTAGAATAAATTTTGACAGGAGCACCGCCTCCAAAAGTCAAAGGTATGGCTCATATCTGTCTGCTAAACACTTTATCATTCGCCGCAGAAGCTGCAATGTGTGGAACATTGTGCTTCTGTGGAAATTTCCTCAGTTTTCATAGGATTGCTAAGCTAATTGCTTGCATATCCAGAAGGTAAAGGACAACATTAACAGGGGAAAAACCTTTTCCCTGTTAATTTTTCCCTTTTCCTTCTGGATATTACAAGGGTGCTTCCTCTCTAAATGGACTACATTATGCCTTTCCAAAAATAACACAGACTTTCCAATAAACGAAACTTAATTAAAGATGTTTTCAAATGAGAAAGTTAGTGAGCTTCTATTGACATCAGCTATCACCTAGCCAAGCCGTTTGCACCAGCAGAATATAGACACACTTTTCCAGGACACTGGCCATTTCCATTGGCTATACTAGGGGAGCCCCTCATTTTGAGTTTTGCTGGCCAATGATGCAGTCCCAGATGTCAGTGAATACTCAATATAGGCTATATGGAAGAGCCAGGCAGATAAGGTCTGCAGTTGGATTGGGCTGTCTTCATTCCAGGAGTTGCATTAATGTACCTACAATAACAAAAGTCACTCACCTACCCATATGTGTGCTGGATGACGTGTCTAGTAGTTTCTCCCTTCATTGGTGTCGCCCAAATAAAACCTGAGTAAGTAATTAATAATATGCTCTCTACAGCAGAATCATTTCCCTACATATGTGGAAGTGGCAGAAACTACAAAGGAGACGCATAGGTTGTTTAGGTCACCTGTGTAAAAACACAAATAATGCCCTTTAAATCTGAGCAGTTTGGTGGGGGTGGTGTGGACATTCCTAATTATATAAGATTTGTGAGTGAGAGAAATCATCATATTCCCATTCAGTGCTGAGCTGCTTGAAAGAAGGCAGGGTTCCTGGAATTAGGTGTCATTGGAAATGTGAATATCCTTTTATCAGGTCTGTGGCCGTAATAACATGTTGTTACTGTTGTCAAAATGTTATTGAATATCCTTATTTATGAACTGCACTTCTGTGCTGTCTTTCTCCTAGAAATATGTATGCATGTGTTAAAATGGTTTTATAAACTGCTTTTGAAAGCTTCTTCAGTTTCAGAAGTGGTTTTTATGTGGCCTGAAGAGCTGCTGTTTCAGGTCAAGTTCCATAGAGCATGTTGAACTTCTTGCACTGTTCACTGAAGTCCCAACCATATGTTTAGACCTAACCTAGTCCTGTTTTACAGTAGACATAATTAAATTCTTCTCCTCCTTATATGCTCCTCAGAGGAGAAAAGAAATGCCTTCTTGTTACGTATTTAAAAGATGAAGTCAGTGTCAAACAAGTCTATTATATCCCATTGACTAAATTCTCTTTCTCACTCTCAGGAATGGTATGGTCAGATGTGAAAAGACTTTGGTATGATGGCTTAGAGGACTTCTTAGAAGAATCCCGAAATCAACTTAGTTTTGTCATGAATTCACTTTATTTGGCAACTTTTGCTCTCAAGGTGGTTGCTCATAATAAGGTAAACAATTATATATATTGTAGACCCCAGACTAATGTTGCTCCTCCTCCAAACAAATACACAACAAAAGTTGGGAGTCATTCAGGAGCACTAATTCTTAGAACATTATGATATATTTGGATTTCACTGTATTTTTGTAGGGTTTTGGTGTGTTACTGAAATGATCTTTCAAGCAAATATACTTCATGCACTTTTACTTGCTTACTGAAAACAGGATGTTAACTGACATTAACTCTACTGCTCAGCAGGTTAACTTATTTCCTTATCTGAATTAAGGCATGTATTGTTCATCTATTTAAGCCATGAATATTATGTGGATCTAACAAGTCAAGCAAAAAATATTCTTCAAGCTTAACACATGCCTTAATTCAAGATGTAAAGCAGGCCTCAGCAATTTGTGTGTGTCTGATATTTCCTTTTAAAAAAAGGAAAGAAAAAAAGAATAGTCTTTGTAAATGGATGAGTCATAGGTTATATCTATATACAGTACAGTAGTTCATACTGGCTGTAATAGTCACTTACAGTTTTGCTGCAAGTTTAACATATGCAATTATCCTCCAGAAGATAATGCTGTGATGGTATAGTCTTAAAAACTGCATACACTATCATTTAGAAGGTGCATATCTTCAATCATTAAATAAAAGACATCAATATTAGCAATGTAGATGAGGGGAATTGCAGCTAAAAGTCAGCTGGTGATCAGATTTGAGCTCCGTACCCTGCAGTCCTGGTTCATGCATGTGCTACAGATCCATTAAATCAATCCTTTGCAATTTGTATATGAAACCATAATGAATACTAAATGAAGCAGATAATTTACACTTACCCCATTTTGTTCTTTTTATTTCCCAGTCACAATTGTTCATCCAGCCCTACCACTAATATACAGGCCATTTCAAATAATTCTATATATTTTCCATTTGTACCCATCAAAACTGAGACTCCCTCTCAGAAAAACTGTACAGCGCCTCTTCTCTCAATAACTTTGTAACTCAGTATTTTCTGGGGCTCTTAAATCATGGTTTTCATTCCCAAATACTAGTGAAGGCCAAATGGCACATTAGATAAAATGTGTTTTCACATTTGTTTGATCCTTCAGGCAGCTATGGTGATTTCCAGTTGGGTTCAGCAATGTTGCCCTGCTGTATGGGTTTATACCATTCCTCTGTGCCATATACATAGCTTAAAAACTGCAAGAAAGCAGTTTCCTCTTCTGAAGTGGCTATTTACCCTAAAAAGTAATTTGCCTTTGGCGCAAAATCATCTTTCTTTCTGGGGTTTTCTAGTGATGATCTAGTCAGAACTGGTTTACAAGTCCTCCCTTCTGGTAGTGCTCCGAGACCATGCAGCATGGCTGAGACTTTACAGGCTGGTTGTTCTCCTAGGAGGCACAGCGTCCTAGGAGAAATCCTGCCTCTGCTGCCAGTTGCTCTGACCCACCGAGATATACAGCCAACAGAGGTATTAATAAATAGGCTTATGTAAATCCTGACAAAATAGCTCCTCCTCCTTCAGTTAAAGCTATAGCCAGCCCAAATTCCATTTTGAAGAGAAAGAAATGGATTGTAGAAGACGTCAGTATGACAGTTACTTGATCATTGATATATTACTTTACATCATGCATTCCTAGGTCTTCTCTGGACAACTGGAAAATATTCCTGTCACCTTTCTGAGTAGTGACATTTCCTTTGCTATTTTATATTACCTCTATTATGTTATGTCTTGTGCATCTATTCATTTGCCGCCCAGAGTAGTAGCTGTAGTGGAATGCAAAAAGGTGACATCATTCCTGCCTGTCCATCACAGCAGCTAAGGGGGAGGAGTTAAGGATAGAGCAGGAGGGGCGGAACTAGAGTGGCAGTTAGGGAGTTGAAGGGACAGTTAGACAGTTGGAGTTAGAAGGGGAGAGAGATAGGAAGAGTCAGGAACAGAAGATGAAGGGAGAGTGTTAGTGTTTAGGAATAGATATAAGGGGGTTAGGAGAGGAAATTGAAAAGTTTAAAACACATTGAACAAGCAGGAATGAATGTATAAACACTACCTGAGGGATATTGATTTTAAGCATACAACAATTAAAATATAATAAAATAAAAGTGATTGACTACATGATCTAATAATACTTTAACACCTGAAACAGTTATATTATGATTTTCCTTTTGATTTGTTCTATAATAAAATAATACTTAATTTAAAAGACATAAGACATAAGACATAAGAAATTTATTTGTCATTGCGCTCACAAGTGGGTGCAACGAAATGAGGTGCTCTTCCCCAAGGTAAAACTGGACAACACTACAAAAAAAAGTTAAAATATACACAACTTTCACCATCCAAATATAGATACCCTGTTTTCTCTCAGCAATTAAAATTCCACCAAAAACCTATGGCCCCGCATTTAAACTCAATACTGCACTTGGGTAAAAACTGTTCTTGAATCTGCTTGTCCTTGCTTTCAATACCCTGAATCTCCTTCCTGATGGTAATAGTTTAAAGAGCTGATATCCCGGATGAGAGGAGTCTTTCAGTATGTTAGATATCTTCCTCTTACATCTGTTCTTATACAATTCTTCCAAAGAGGGGAGTGAACAGCCAATGATGTTTTGGGCCGTCTTAATCACCCTTTGAATTGCCTTTTTCTCTGCCACTGTGCAGCTCGTGAACCATACACAGAGACAGTAGGATAATATGCTCTCAATCGAACTCCGATAGAAGGTGATTAACAAACTCTCAGTCAATTGTTGCTTTCTAAGAATCCTTAGAAAATACAACCGTTGTTGTGCCTTCCTGATTAACGCAGCGGTGTTTGCACTCCAAGTCAGGTCATTTGTTATGATAGTCCCAAGAAACTTACATTCAACCACCTGTTCCACACAAACTCCATCTATATACAGTGGCTGAATGTCTGCTCTTTTTTTCCTATAGTCCACTATGAATTCCTTGGTTTTTTGGATGTTAAATAAAAGATTGTTTTTTTTTTTGCACCAGCGGGATAGCTGTAATACCTCGTCCCGATACGCAGACTCATCATCCCCAGAGATAAGTCCTACTAGTATAGTATCGTCTGCAAAAAAAACCCTGCTTCCTAAGTTATATGACCCTTTGGGGTGGCAGCTCCTGAGTGGGACATGAATTGGTATTAGGAGAATAACTGGTGGCAGCGAAAAGGGCGTGTATACCTTTGTGAGACCCAAGGAAATAGGGGCCACAAAGGGTTGACCGCCACAGTAGCCTTTGCTATTTGTTGGGTGATATAAAAATACAAATAAATAAGTTTAATAGTAATGACAAACCATGGTTTGTTCATGAGGACAAACAACATGAAGTCTCAATGTTCTGTGTGCCCTTTTTGCCTTGTCCTCTCCTTTTCACATGAGAGAGTCACATTAAGGTCAGAAACAAATATTGCAAGGAATGTATATTCCTTATTATTAGCCCATTTCCCCACCCACAAGAGAAATACATGCCTCAACAAGAATATGCAAATTCAGCTTTTGTTAATTTCCTAGTGGCCAATCACAGATATCACACGCTACGACAGATGTTTTTCTCCTCTTCTAAAAACATGTTAAATGTAAAAACACCTCTTCTTAACATGTTAATGTGTAGTTTGGTGCATTTCAGCTGAACAGCAAAATACAGTAAGCTATCCCCATTGAAAACAGATGCTTCCAGTCTTTGCACCTAATACATCGCAGTGCTCAAAGAAAAAAAGAGGGGTGTGTGCCAAGGCTTGCAATTGTTCATTTGTATTTGGAAGTTAATATAAATTGTTCACTCAATGTGTCATTGATTCATGAAATCTACTGGGGACTTGTTACCAGTGATTGCTACAATGAAAGTAACCTCTACTTCTTCGTGAAACTCTAGTTCCATGATTTTGCTGAGAGGAAGGATTGGGACGCCTTCCATCCAACACTGGTGGCAGAAGGTCTCTTTGCTTTCGCTAATGTTCTCAGTTATCTCCGACTTTTCTTCATGTATACTACCAGCTCTGTCCTAGGTCCACTTCAGGTAAGTTGTTTTATGAGCAAAAGGCCTCTATTTACTGTTTGAATCCTTTTTGTAGACATAATTGCTATATTTAGTTATACTCAGCTAAACCATTGACTATAATGACAAAGTTGTTCTCTGTGTGTCTGACTGTTGAGGTGACTAAGACATGGTGGTTCTTCTAAACTAGAAACTGTAGGAAGAAAACAATGATGAAATTGTCCATGGCTCACAAAAGGGTGTAGCTTATATAAAAGTACTTGACATTCAGACCTGCTTGAGAGAAATTCTCTAGCAGTATACCTTTTAAAAATATAACCAGATATTATGAAGAGAATTCAAGGGCATCATTTCAAATAATACAAATGTAGGAGCAGGTGATACTTTTAATCAACCGTTAAGAATATAAAACAAACAAAAACAAACGAACAGCGAGTTTTCAATTATAAATCATCATCTTCAAGGCTGTGCATCAAGTTCTTATGGTTGGTTCCAAATTTATGTGCTGTTATTAATGTCCCAAATTCACATACAGGTGTTTTACGCACACCTTGGTTTACGTAATTTTCAGTTTACGAACCAAAATCCGTAAGAAATAATGTCTTAGTTTATGTTTTTTACGGGGTTTTTTTTCGCTGTATGAAAAGGACGCATTGCGCCTGGAGGTTTCTAGTGCCGCCCCTGTTGCTACAGCAATCCACATTCCAGTTTACATAAGTTCTGCATTACGTAGCGTCCCAGATGACAGATTAATTTCGTAAACCGAGGTATGCCTGTAGTTGATGGTGTAGAGGACAGGTTAGTCAGTGTATGAAAAGTGGCAATTTGGGGGAATAATACAGAATAGTGTACATCCATCTGTTTGATATGCCCCAAAGATCAAGACAGATGTTGTGCTGTAAACAAACTAGGAACTGTCTTTCTTTCCTCCTTACCTGAAGAATGGGCTATGGAGAAAAAAGATTTTGCCTTTTAAAAAAATGGTAAGGAGGTGCTTTAGTTGCTATCTGTACTGTACTCAGTCTATCTTATATTACAGCTTTTAATCGTATTTTCTCTTGCAGAGTAGAAACCCCAGCAGTAGATTAAAAAACTAAAGATGTGGGTTGGGGGGTACTCAGCTGATTTGCATTGACTCGTAAGTTGTGGAGTCAATGAAAAATAATGTGAATCCGACCATTTCAATCATGGAGCATTTCCTGCATTATCTGTCAATATAGTCACCCCCTCTGTTTCACAGTCCTGTCCTATCCATGTTTTTCTCACAAACTAAACTTTTAAGTATGCAATCCTATCTACTCTTTTCATGGAGCAAGATATATTTGTACAGTGGGGTCTTGACTTGAGAACTTAATCCGTATTGGAAGGTGGTTCTCAAGTCAAAAAGTCTGTAAGTCAAGTCTCCATTGACCTACAGTGCATTGAAAACTGATTAATCCCGTAACAGGCCGTTTTTGTTCCATTTTGGTTTTTTTCTGGTCTGTAAGTCAAATCTCAGCAAGTCAAACCTAAATTTTGCGGCCAGAGAAGTCTGTAACTCAAAAAGTCTGTAAGTCAAGCCGTCTGTAAGTCAAGGGTCCATTGTACAATAAAATGAAAAATTTCAGTTAGGGTTCCCAACAGACATGGGTGCTTTGTATTTGTATCCAGGTAATATGAATACAAAGCATGGCACCACAGGTGCCTTGGCGGTCCATGCAGCCCCCTGGAACCCAGTCCACTCACTGGGCTCTTCATGTCCATCAGCATCATAGTTGCACCAATTGCATAAGTAGTCCGAACAGTGCTTCCACGCCTCTCCTCACAGCCGACCATTCTAGTGACGAGGCCAGCTGCTGAATGGCTGGCCTTGGTGAGAAGTGGGGAAATGCAGGCCAGACTACTTCCATGATTGGCACAGCGATGGACTGGGCTAGATCTGGGGGGAGGGCATGGACCACGGTGGCATCCTTGGTGCCGCACTTTGTATCATATCTCTTGGATACAAATACGAAACACCCATGTCTAGTTGCCAATAGTTCACTTCACAAGAGTACAGTTGCTCACCTCTTGTAGTTCCATGAATTTGTCTGGGATCTTTTACTTTTCTTGTAATGTTTTTTCTCATATGCCGTTTCAATATGAATTACTACTACTACTACTACTACTACTACTGTACATTGTTACTTGATGTTTAATAAGTATTTAAAATTAACTGTATGTCCTACAGATTTCCATGGGGCAAATGTTGCAAGACTTTGGAAAATTTCTTGGAATGTTTCTTCTTGTGTTGTTCTCATTTACTATTGGGTTGACCCAACTGTATGATAAAGGATTCCCAGTGAATGAAGAAAAGGATTGTGCTGGTATCTTCTGTGAACGGCAAAGCAACAACACATTCCACTCGTGAGTTTCAGGATATTTAGTGAAATGCCTTAAACATCAGCTATTCTGTTTCATAATAAGCTCTGGGTGTCAGGGAGGGAAGGGTATTCAGGTTCATCAGAATTTTACTAGAGGCTGAACTATATTGATTACTAAATGAGCAATATTTTTAGTTACATATTTTGTCATTTAACAGAACTAGCCTTTGTATGGCATTTTGTGGTTGATGAAGCTAGACTGTAGTTACTGTGGTGGGAGACCTTCACCCTCTTCAAGGAAGCCAAGGATGGTGCATCATCTTGTAGCTCTGGGATGAGATTACCATTCCCTTAGGCCATGAGGCACCTCTGTCTCCAGATGTTTTAGTCTACAACTCCATACTCTTTTACAATTGGCCATTTTGGCTTATGTTTCTTGAGATTAATGTCCAAAATATCTGGGGAGTCCTATGTCTCATCTCCCTGAGAATGTTATATGTATGTAAGACTTGTATCTATGGACTAGAGCCTTTCCCCCCTTTTCCTAGAAACAGTTTCTTGCACTGTGTTAATTTCTACGTTGTTGAGCACATACTATTGTTGTTGGAACTAATATGTTGTATTGCTTCCACAGTGGTTCTCTGGCTATAACATGTCTTCTCACATTGCTGGAAATATTCTTTCTAACTATGGTGGCTGCCTGACAGTAAAAATGTTCTGTCCCAAACTGTATGAATATTGTTGGTTCAGCAACATTTTTTAAAGGTTTAATGCATCAGTTCATTATTTACAGTGGGGGAAAAAGTGGTTTAGATCAGTGGTCCGCATCCTTGGGCCTCCAGATGTTCTTGGACTACAACTCCCTGAAGCCTTCACCACCACCTCTGCTGGCCAGGATTTCTGGGAGTTGTAGTCCAAGAACATCTGCAGGCTGAAGGTTGAGGACCAATGGTTTAGAGGACTGTTAGCAAATCGCTTTTGTTTGTCTCAACAGATGTATTTAATAACGTTGGTCAGACTCAATGTATCATTGATGAAATCAAAATCTCAACTAATATAAATATGTAGAATTTCAGCTTGGGATGGAGGAAAGCGGTATTTAGTCTGTTAGCAAACTGTTTGGCATCCACAGGTCTAGTTGAGAGTTTGTTTCTTGGTCCATCCCAAATGCTGGTTTTAACCTTTAAACAGCTTGGGGCCAGGTTACCTGTAGGAGCATTTCCTCCTCTGTAATTTACTCAGATGCTAAGGTCTTAATCTGAGGCCCTTCTTAAAGGGTTTCCATCTAATTAGGTAAGCCAGGTGGCTACAACTGAGGGAGCTCCTTTACTGATGTAGAACGCCTGCCCTGTAGAGCCACGGCTGGTCCCTACTTTAAAGTCTTTTGGATACCAGCTAAACATTTTTTAATTCTTCTAGCCGCTAGAATCTAGCCATTTTAGTGCTTTTAGTTTATTGAAGTCTTCTGTTTGAGGGCTGCTTTTGTTTTATTTTTATGTGCTTTATGTTCAATACCTTTGCAGCTAGTCTTACTTTGGTTTTGTTATGTGCTATATTTAGCTATCATTTATGGTTTGCATTTTGTAGTTTTTAATGTTTTGGACAACACTCATGGAGCTTCTGGATTTGGACAGCTTAAAATTACAATAAATAAATGGTGTTTCTTTTTCTAATATTTTGAATACAGCATAACAGAGCTGTAATATTTTGCATTCAGTATTCAAGTCATGTACATTATCTCTGTAAGCATTATAATATTCCTGTATTTCAGGCTAGTATTATCCACACAGTGGTCCTCCCAGTGTTGTTCAACTTCAGTTTCCATCAGTCCTTGCTTACACAGCCGGTCATGATATATGATTGAAGATGTAAGCTAATGACAGGTTCCCAAACTTGAGAAATAGTGGGAGTAAATGAATGAGATAAATTTGATATGACCTGCTCACAGTTTACATTTCTACTTGCCATGACAGCAATTCCTTGATCTAATGTCAATTCTGTTGTTTTTAATTAACTATAGTTGTTACATGTAGAAGATCCTGAGTTCTTGTTGAAATCTTTGGCTTGTTAACTACTTACCTATATGAAGATCAGTACTACCTTTTCTTTGGATTTTGTTAGTAAGATGCAGTCCACATCCATGTACTCTATTTATCCAATCAATAGTGTGTCTTTTCCCAAAAGCTGGGACACAACATGAAGGCAAAATTCCCGTTTATTGTAAATATAGCACTATTATGAAGATACAATACAATGACAGCTGTTAACGTCTATCTAAAGAAACCTAGATTATAGTACTGAGACTTCTTCCACACAAGAAATAATAAGCAAGCACAAAATAAAATAGGGATAACTGTATTGTGCTATTGAACTCAGCCTCTTACTGAAATAGCAAAATACACTAATCTCTATTATATTTTGTGCTTGCTTATTATTGTGTGGAAGAAATCTCAGCACTACAATCTAGTTTTCTTCAGACATAAATTAATAGCTGGCAGTGTATTGTATCTTCATAATAACTCTTCCAACTCCCACTAAAATCACAATTATCTTTATCCAAAGTGAAACTGCAGTTTTTTCTTTTCCCCCATTCTCTCCAGCTGGGAATACTCTGCTAAACAGATGTCTCATATGTATGTTGCACTTCCCATTCAGGAAAGTGTCTCTTAGTTTTTATCCTTCATTAGAAAATATTAGCCAATTATCTTTTATCCATTCCTGAGCAAGCTGGTTAACAAAAGTTGGTTGGCCCATTATTTTGCTTATTTTTGTTGATAAACAATTGCACTCTGTTTGCATATTAATCTGTGAATTTTAAAGAATCCATTGTAAAAAATTGCCTTTATATGTGAATTTAAAATGTATTTCAGCCAAAACTGCACATTTTGAAATGTATGTCAGTGTCTTTATTTTGAGCTAACAACTATGTCAGAACATATGGGAACTGCAAGAACTGGTAGACAATTAAGTGCCATCCATATACCAGTCTGCAATGTGTAGATCAGGTCAGGTCAGTTTGTATCAGAATTTACAAACAGAATTCCTCAAGCATCCTTAAAACAGCACACATGTGTTTGAATAGCCCTGGCAAAGTACTTTAGCAGTGTTTATATTAAGCCATGTGATGCCTAGCTTTACACTCCATCTCCTCTGTGTTTCTTTTACTGGAGTGTTATATAAGTGTAGAGCTCACTCTAATAAATTAAATTAATTTAATTTTTCAAAACTTAAGCAGGAGTAGTTTAATATGAGTGGTATGATGAATATCCTTACACTAATTTTTGTTTTGTTATTTCATTATTTGAAAGCATTCTGGCTACTTTCCCCTTGTGTATCTTCACCCAATTACATATTTTGTGTTCTTTTTTGTAGGTTTATTGGAACCTGCTTCGCTCTGTTCTGGTATATATTCTCCCTTGCACACGTAGCCATATTTGTTACCAGATTTAGCTATGGTGAAGAACTGCAGTCTTTTGTGGGTGCTGTTATTGTTGGCACATATAATGTTGTAGTAGTGATTGTCCTTACCAAGCTCCTGGTGGCAATGCTTCATAAAAGTTTTCAGTTAATAGCAGTAAGTATTTTTTCTTTTTATTTGTTTTTTTCATTCCAGTAGAAATATACAGCTATACATATTTTTCTGTGGTTCCTTTTTAGATACATTTTCAAGCAGCTTATTAAAAACAAGGTTTATTGTTTTTTTAAGTATAGACTTTGCTCTTGGTTTTTATATATAACTTCATTCTTCCTGTATAACTTCAACTGTGATCCAATTCTGACTTCACAATAAATATAGGTACCAGTATGAAATGATTTGCTATTGGGTGGCTTGATTGCGTGTTATTTCATGCAAATGTGAGGATGCTCATGTACATCCTTGCATCATAGAAGCTCCTGCAAGGAAGCTGTGGATGAGGCTATAAATAAATCAGAGTCCTGTATGTTGTACCAGCATTTCCCATAGTTTCACATGACATACAGTAAGTTGCTGTGGTGGAATAGGCATACAGGTTTGAACCTTTTTCCCCTCTTATGAGCACAGGTATTACTGGCAAGTTTAATGTGAAGTTTGATTCAAATTACACATCACAAGCATGAAATGGTGGAAATTTTGTGCACTTGAGCCAAAAAGAAGGGGAAAAGCCTTAGAATCATGAAGAAATTATTTGTTGTCATTGTATAGTTTAAAGGGATAAATATTTGGTCAAATGAGTTGAAATCTGCTCAGCCTAATACAGAGTTTTGTGTGGACTCCCAGTATTCATAAAAGAGGTGCCTCAAATTAATTGTGGAGGCTAAATTCCCCCCCCAAAAAAACCAAACAAAAATTAAAAAGATGCATTTAAGATTAAAGTTTTAGGAGAACTTACTGTAGTGATTGTTTCGTAATATTTTGTAATGTTACCTGAGTAAGGGATTTTGAAGTGAATTGTTCATACAAGTATGTGTAGAAAAAAATCAGATAGTTTACAACTGAGCAATTCTTTTTTTAAAAAAAGGATAAAAACTCCTTCAGCATGGTTTGAAACACCATGGCTCTAACAAGCCCTGTGCAGAAGTGTTTTTTTTTTAATTTCTGTAATGTTAGAAACAGTTCTGGGTATCAAGTGAAGATGTGGACAGAAAAGCTTTTTGTGTGTGTTCTAGGTACACTCATCTCCAATTGCCCAAGCACAGATCGCCTCCAGACTTAATATACCATTCTTTATAAAAATATTTGTAATCAATTCATCTATCATCTTGTAATTCATCAATCTTTATTAATAACAATGTAAACCAGAGACAAGCAATTGTGGGCCTGCAGATGTTTGAAGTACTTCAAATCTAATTCCTCACCATTGCCTGGTCTGCTAATGACTGATGGGTCTTGCAGTCCAACAACCTTGGAAAGGCCGTAGACTGATCTTCCCAAATATATAGTAACTTGAACAGAATTTTGTAAAAATACATCATCATGGTTTAGCAGAACCACTAATATGTGCTGTTTTCAATTATTTAGAACCATGAAGATAAAGAATGGAAATTTGCTCGTGCTAAGCTATGGCTGAGCTATTTTGATGACAAATGTACTCTGCCTCCACCTTTCAATATAATTCCTTCCCCCAAGACTATATGCTATCTATTTAACAGCCTCAGTAAGTGGATCTGTTCTCACACCTCATCAGGTAAAGTCAAGCGACAAAATAGTTTAAAGGTAAGAAACTGGGAAATTAAGTTCACTGTTATAAAATCCCTATTGAATTGAGTGGGGCTAACTCTCTAACCTATTGAATTCAATGGCGTGCACTCAGAAATTGTTAAGCTGAGAGCACAGCACACCAAGGTGGGACATATTGGGGGATGGAATTTAGCGGTGACTGTTTGTGACTGGCAGTCACTCCGTGGTGCCAATTTTAGCTAGAGTCCTAATTTTTTGCCCAGGACAAGAACAGGCTCTTTGATTTTTAGGACATAATTTGTTTGTTTTATTACTTGTTTTATTTATAGGCCACCTTTCTCCTAATAAGGAAACCCAAGGTGGCTCACAATATTAAAAAGAATAGAATTAAAACCCTAATAAGTTAAACATTAAAAAACAATTAAACCATGTGCTAATTAAAATGCAGTTGAATAAGTTAGTTGTAAATATTTAATTTAAATATCTCCAGTTAAATTAATGGGCTTAGAAAGACTTAAGTTCGACAGGAACATGCCTGGTATTCATTTACAATGGTACACCAGTTTGCCAGCTGTGGAAAACCTATATCCTTCTATGTGTCATATCTAATATATTGCTTTTTGCTTAAAGGAATGGAAAAATCTGAAACAAAAGAGGGATGAGAATTACCAAAAGGTGATGTGCTGCTTAGTTCATCGGTATTTAACTTCAATGAGACAGAGAATGCAAAGTACTGACCAAGCGACTGTAGAAAACCTGAATGAACTACGACAAGACTTATCAAAATTCCGAAATGAAATGAGAGACTTACTTGGGTTCCGGACTTCAAAATATGCTATATTTTATCAAAGAAACTAAGATTTCAAATAAAATTTTGAAGTATTATCAATCCAAAAATTTTTAAAAAGTTTCTTGTTAGTACATTTTAAAAATGTGAATGCTCGAATTGCAGTGAATTTCAATTGTGAAAAAAAATCCATACTTTTCTAAAAGCTTTTTATGATATATGCAGTATGCTCAACTTGTCTGTAGTCTGCAAAAGATAAATATTCCATCAAGTAGGTATTTGACAAGCCTCAGTAACAACCGAGGATGACTTTTCCCTGCACTATTCCATTTTTGAGAAGGACATGACTGTATTTCCCCTTCCCCATCATATGGAAGATATCACAAATAACCTTTAAAAGTTTTAAAAATAATTTATATATACTGGACTATTTTAAAAGGGCACATTTGTGGAAATGTCATCCTTAACATTTCTAAAGGACTACTGGAAGAGATAGAAAAGTTTAAAATGTGAAAGGCTTAATCATTGTTAAAGTAATTTAAATCTTTGACATTATTTTGTACTCAGTGTCACTGAATTATACCAAAGATTTTAATGTTTTAGAACTAAATTTGTTATCTCCCCCCCCATATAAAAATGGTGACTGAGTAAAAAATATTTAACAGACAATCTGAAGGTACCACCTCTAACTAAAATTAAAGTTGTTTTCAAATGAGTATTTACAAAGTATTACACAACATACTATATGCAATGTCTACATTATTTCTAGTATATCTTCTGTAGAAGTTAAATGCCACATTTATTCATTTATTCTATTGTATCAATTTGATTTGAAACCAGAGCATTAGCTATGGAAAGTAACTATTACTCTTAAGAATGTGGGTGAAATATAAGCAATGATACTAGGCTGCTGTACTGAAATGTTTCCTTGAATGGAAATATTTTCCTGTTAAGTTTATAACACAGCAGAGAGATTATGATCTCAACCTAATTGTGGTTATATTTAAGCTCCATTTAGGATACAAGAAGTTTGGTCCCATTGATTTAACTGAACGCTTGCCAAACCAGGATTGGCGTGTTTCTCTTTGTAGGCAATACTCTATGAAGCTATCAATAGTTTTGTAGTCCTACTCCCTAATGTGAATGCATTTCACTTTGTTTTCTTAATACATATACATGTGTCAAGTGTTATGTGGTTTATTTATATTGTAAATTATGGTATCTGCAGGTTCATTCTGCTTGGCAGGTATGGAGAATGAGGAGGCCATGAGTACAGAATACTTTTGCTAATGTACATACAGTAAACAGAAAGACTTCATTATGTTATGTGTGAGATTTTAGTTCTACATGTAAGATGATGGGTAAAAGTCCAGATAGTGTTAGGCTTGGTGTACACACTGAGATCTTTGATCTTTTAACTATTAGAAAAGCCCTTAATCCTCTGCTATGCTTCACACTGCAAAGAAGGGTGCTTATATTTTTGTATCTGTCTCTAGCAATGCTGTGCTTAACATCATGATATGTAAATGTGTTATTAGGCATTGATGAGTCTGCTATAGATAAAAGCTTACAGAATGTAAGGCTAAAAGGGCCTAAGTATTCACAACTGATAACAGTGTCTGAAACAAAGACAGAATTGCATTAAAGTCAACATTCCTCCTTCTGAGCCAATTTTTGGTAAAACTATTTGGAGGGGTACTACTAAATTTTGTGTATTTTAGAATATATGTATCACTCAGATCTGTTTCCAAGAAAAGACGTTGATTGAATTCTTATCACTGGAAAGCAAATACAAGATTCTGCTTAAGATGTCTGAATGCTTTGTATGGTGTTTTATCTTGATAGCTGAAACATTGATAGCCTAATAATACATAGTTTGGGGAAAAATGTCTGGTTAATTATAACCTAATGGGGAATGAAAATTTTATTCAGGAGCATCAATACTTTTGTCAACATATCTGTCACATGAAACTTTGTGATCTGGACATGTTCTCTGTTCTGTGCTGGAGTGTTGTGATAATATATTTTGTCTAATTTTCTTCTATGTATTGAGACTGTACATTGTGCTTTAATTTTAAAAAAGCTCTCATAGAAATAAGTGGTAAGATCTGCATTTCTGAGGTTGTCTCAGGGCTTCAGAGTTCCCCCAAGAATGTTTATCTTGCAGTATTTTGTCATAGTTTTATTTAAGTAATAGCAAATCATTTGCACTGAATAAAATCTTCATGTGTTCTAAAAATTTCCTTCCCAATATCTTTTCAAACAGATACAAAAGTGGAACAAATAGTTCAAACAAGCAATCCAGATACTAGGAAGTTTGATTAAAACATGTTTTGGTGCAGGATTCAGAATTTTCTTGTACAGAATGCAGAATCCAATAAGTACATGATGGCTTTCCACTAACAAACAAGCTGTGAGAGCTTATTTTCTTATGAGATAAGAGCCTCATGGTGCAGTGGTTAAACTGCTGTACTGCAGCTAAAACTGTGCTCAGGACCCAGGGTTCAATCCCAGGTAACTGGCTCAAGGTTGACTCAGCTTTCTATCCTTCCGAGGTCAGTAAAATGTGTCCTCAGCTCGCTTGGGGGGGGCAATATGTAGCCTGCATTAGTTAGGCATCCTTCAGTCTCGAAAGACTATGGTAGCGTGCTCTGTATGGAGGACTTGGAACAGCGTCTAGTGTGGCTGAGGAGGCCAATTCGAGAGTGACAATCCCTTCCACACTGAAGACAAATCCAATCTGTCCCCTGTCCAGCTCCCTGGTTTTGCTGCTTTTGTGATTTCCTCTTTGCCTCGGCCTGCTGGGCAAGGGTCGCTTCAAATTGGGAGAGGCCACGATGCAGTGCCTGCCTCCAGGCTGAACGCTCAGATGTCAGGGTTTCCCATCTGTTGAGGTCTATTCCTGCATAATTAACTTGTAAACCACCCAGAGAGTGCTTGAAGCACTATGGGGTGGTATATAAGCAGCACACTTCTGCTTTTACTTTGTTTTCCCTGGCATATTAGAATTATTTTTCTATTCTATCAGGCTTGTGTAATATTTATTTAATTTGCATCTTGTCTTTGCTCAAGAACCAAGAGCAGCATTGTATCCTCCCAACAGTTTTATAAACCATAGTATGCTGAGATTTTGAGATGGCAAAAGCTACACAGTATAAATGTCGCTGAAACCGGAGTTTTCACATACAATCCAATCCCTCTACCTTTGTGTTCTTGTTCCTTCATTTCTCTTCAAGGACTTTTCATGGTGCTTCTTATAACAATCCTATGAGATAACTAAATTTACGTACAGAAGAGGATTTAAATCAAGCCTTGATGGTTGGCCAGTTTTACTATATTGCAAATATGTCTAGTCAATGTGTCTCAAGGGCAGTTAAAACTGCAAAACAATAATGTTAAACCCAATAACTATTAGTTGCCACTGTTGCCAGGTCAGCTGCTACTGACTGATTATTTATATCCCATCTTTCTTCAAAGAATCTGCTATGCGTACTGAACTGATTCTTTTGGACAGAGTCCCATGTACTGGAAACATTTTTGTTAATTCCTACTCATTGATAAGTCATAAATATTTTAAAGTCTGTTCTTGCCAGAGACAATAGGGGAAAAAGCCAATCTGACCAGAATAGTATTTAGCTTTTTTAATATCACTCACTTGAAAGCACTGTGACTGCATGTGATTCCAGAACTGACATACCTTAGTATTGAATTAGCTTTGAATCAACTTTTAACAGTTAAAACAAAGCTTTAAATGCAGTAAGGTCAGGCAAAGACTCAAGGAGCACCAGCCTAGGATAAAAAGTAACTCTGCTGCTGTTCCTAGAATTATTGTTCATAAGTTGTGGCCATGTTGTGACTAGCTTTAAAAGATAGATATTATGTCTGTGCATTGACCAGTCCTTAAATCAAAAAAGGAGTTATTCAACTGTAATGTGTATTTATTTATTTATTTATTTATTGTATTTATACCCCGCCTATCTAGTCATTTCGACCACTCTAGGCGACTAGGTGTACTGCTTCCAAGCCTGTTCCTCATCATTGTATACTGGTATGAGTATCATAATCAGACTACAGGAGATGAGTTGCTCTTAAATGTAGCACCTCAAGCGGTATCCAGATATTTCTGTTTTTTAAAAATACCTTATTCTCGCTGTTTAAAGTACTTATAGCATAGTTCTTTCAAAAGCTTTTTATTAAGCATATATAACTGTCTACTGAAACATAGTTGAACTAATATAAATATTGCACTTGTATCACCATATCAGTTTTTAAAAATTCTTCTGAGAAATATAAATTAAGAGCTTGGTGTAATGGAAATCTGATACATTTCTGGTTGGCTGGCACAGCTGAAAAAAGTTTTGAAATAAAAAAATAGTGTTAAAAATACATTTTTTAAAAATAAAATACACAGCATGTGTCAATGAGAACTGCATAGCTGAAAAATTCCAGCTTGTACATCAACTTTCAAAAAGTCAGTTTCTTCCATTCCATTTTTTTTTAAAGTAGATACTCTGGAGGATATATGACAGGAAAAGTTGCAGAAATGTACCTTTCAACACTGTTTATTTTTCAAGGCATTCAGGATCTTTTGGTTCTTAGTCTTGAAACTCATTGTAAAGCTACTGGGCAGGATTTTACCTCTGCCATCTTCTTCTACCTGGCCCATGATGACATAATTTAGACCTGTTGGAAGGGGGAGACAGAAAAATGGTGAAACAGAATTTCTGCTAAATTTTGGAAAATGATTATATATATTTGCAGATTGCCATTATAATATAGAATATTGTTTTACTTTTTATTATACCTTCTTTCTTCATATTCATTCTAGCCCCTTGTGCTTTGATTTTATTTTTTCTCTCTCTACAGCCTCTTTTGACAGATGGTATTTGTTGGCATCTTCACAGATACCTATGGCTGGTACACTTGCTGCCTTCCACAAGTGGCTATAATGCAGAATCTGTATACATGAGTACAGTGGTGCCTCGCATTACAATGTTAATTCATTCCAGCGAAATCGCTGTAGAATGAAAACATCGTAAAGCAAAATTAAAAAGCCCATAGAAATGCATTAAAACCTGTATAACGTGTTCCAATGGGCTTAAAACTCACCGTCCAGCAAAGATCCTCCATAGGGCGGCCATTTTCGCTGCCTGTTTTGCGAGGAATTGGCCCCTAAACACAGCGGAGAGCCATTTTATTTACCGCCAATCAGCTGTTGAAAAATTGTCGTTTTGCGAAGAATCGGTTCCTGAAGCAGGGAACCGATCATCGCAAAGTGAAATTCCCCCATAGGAAACATCATTTTGCGATTGCAAAAGCGATCACAAAAAGTTCATTGTAATGCGATTTCGTCATTTCACGAAGCGATCGTAATGCGAGGCACCACTGTATATATACAAAGGACTATCTGAAGTACTAAAATTTCTAGTAAGTAACCTGAGCTTCACTCACTGAAATTTGTAAAAAGAGATTGGCCAGTTTATATTGTTTATAAAAAAGAGACTTGAATCAAAGTAGATTGAATGTTAATTAAATTTTCTGGGAGGCATTTAGGGGAAAATATGGCTATATGTGAGCTTTCCAGAGCAAAAAGAGAATGAGTGTTTAATTCAGGAATCTGGATGTACAGAGAAGGCTAAGTAAGCAATTATAAATAGGTGGCTTCACCTTGAAGTGATAAAATAAAGCCAGAAGCTCATAGATTATGAAACGAGTGGTATCTAGAATTGCAATCCTTATTTAGAACATTGTTATCTTACCTATTTTTAAATCAGTGGAATGTTATTGAAAGTCTAGAAAAAGCTCACTTTCCTGATACGTGAATTAATGGCCAACAACTGAGATAAAGCAGCAAATTACCTATATTTGCCTACAAGTGAAACAAGTACTGTACTTGTGTAATGAATGTGTTGAGAGATATATGTACCCAGAGGTGAAAACTTTTGGTATTTTGTTCAGTGTGGTTTAATTTTTTCAGTGCCCTCTAACTGATGTGTCCTCCTTTTATAAATTTTATATTTATACTTATGTATCTACTAGTATTCACAATTTGAACCTAGCCACCATTTAAGTAAGATAGAAACAACTTAACCAATCATTCTCTCTTTTCTTTCAACAGATTTGCATTAATACGTTACAGAAATGGGAACAACTGACAATGTTTTCAGATAAGCAATTCTGGAATCAAATGAGTATAGACTATGAATCTTCTCAACCATTCATCAGTATGTGGTGTTTGAGCAGTTTGTCTGATATTTTATTCTGCAATTAGGAAGTCTGATTTCAGACTCCCTGGGAAATCAATTATGAGACGATGAAAGCAATGATGAGGGAATTAGTGTAATGTTCAAAATACAGAATTCTGTTTAGCTGTACCTACTTACCTCTTCTGATAAGAGGACACTGTTTACAGACAACTATGATCTTGGCACTCATATTTTTGCCTGCTTGCTGGATTGCTAAATTTCCTTCTTTGTATACATTAATGATTGCTATTGTTGCATGCAAGCTTCCACCTCTGGTGTTGGTTGTGATAACAGATCCAGTTATTACTAAAAAGAAGGATCTAGGATTAGTACACTGAAATACATGTTTGGAGCACAAGGAAAGCAGTTGTAGGACCATTTCACTTTGCACCTAGCCGATCAACCTTTTACCAGTGCTGTGAACAAATGTGTTTCTATTTTATAGTGATACTGTTTGAGTATCACAATAATCTTAAATTTAAGAATGGCTTCTTGTCTTCCAGAAACCATAAAGTGATAGAAAAATGCCAGGAGGAAAGGACTACAGATCTGTTGCCAGTGAAATATGTAATAGACAGAAAGGGACTCTGGGGAATTATAGGGGTTGTCTCACTTGATATCAGAAAAAGAGGCAATACATAGGACTCCTTTCAGGACAGCTGTAATTTGGAACCCAGTATGGTTTACAAGGGTAATGGCTGGTGGGAATTGTGGATTAGCAGTGAATGTTACAAGGGAAAGAAAAGAGTGGTTACACTGCAAGATTTTAGAAAAGATATGAAAAACACTTCAAATTTTTAGCTTAAGCATTCAGGCTGTTTTTTTTTTAAATATCTCAGTAAGTATTATGCTAATATGCTGATATACACTTGTACTGAGATATCATGCATAAGCATTTGTATTGATAGTTAAATAAGAAAAGAAGAGGGTATAAACTTTAATTTCTCCTAATGGACAACCTCTCTATCACAGAGAAATATAGTAAAAGGAAATTATAGAATTAGGAATAAAGCAGGAAAGAACAAATTTATCACTATGAATAAGAAATACAGGCTGTTCCAAGAAGACAACAACCCAACATTGTCACTGAATCAACACTTTCACGGAGCAACAGTTCTCTTTCTGTTTAGTCACTTGTGTTTAGACTGGAAATCCCCCCTTTTCGGACACATATTCATACTGTCTTCTCCTCAAAACATCTCAAGGAATATAACTGACACCAGTGTAAGAGATGCAAGTAGAATGATCTGAAAGAATTTCCTTGTGCTCTAATGGTAGTTTACAAATAAATGTTCTGACCTTCCCCTGAAACTAAATATACATCACTAAGTCACTGGTTGCAGGGAGAAAAAAAAACCTTTGTTGCTCTTACCGAAGTTACTTGAACAGTAATTGCTCTCAAGAGTTCCACTCCTCCTGCATTTTTGCTGGCACAGGGCAACTGTAGGCTTCAAAGCTTTTCCATAGAGATCCAGAAGGCAGAGTTAGTGAAGTCAATTTAAGTGTTTCAAAAGTCAGTGTAAAAGAACTTGTTGTATATATGTGTTTATTCCTGATGTACAGAAAGAACTGGCATTTCCAAGGTAAAAACCCAAAACAGTCTGCACAAACCACACTTCAAAAGACCCAGTATTCTGTTGGTATACTAGCACAGTGTACTTTTGAGAGCCTGCCACATTTTACATCAGCTCTAGCTCTAAAACAGGCATGCAGTATGTGGTATCCATTACACCTTGAATCTGTGGAAGCACAGATTACCTTCTTGAGACCCAACTCTGAAAACATGCACCAAATCAAATGAGAGAAAAGAGTCCTAGTTCACTGAAAACTAAAGTTATGGAGGTTGATAGTGAACCCCAGACTGTCCAAGTTTGTAATCAGGAGTAAAAAGGGGGGGCAGCTTTTGTATCAAAAATGTCACTAGTCTTGCAAATCTCCAAGAACTGTGGAGCTACCAACAATCAAACATGTTCCCATTTTCCTCTTTATAATCTACATTTTGTTTTGCAATGTGCAAATATACACACCTTGCTTTGTTTAGAAGATTGTTCTCACATATGTAACTCCACAGATGATCTTACTGCTTTTTGGACAAAGGAAGCTATGTTTCCAGCACCCAATTAACAGAAGGTCATTTCAGAGAAGAAAGCAGTAACTGAAGTGTATCTTTCAACTTTCCTCCACCTTTACAGAGCTTAAATGACACCTCTATACCTACTTGTGGTGGCGGGGAGTGTTGTAGTTGTTGATGATGGGGTTGTTGGTAATTTCTTGGGTCTGAATTTGTAGTGTCCAATGAAGCCATCAGCAGTTAAACTTAAATCGGACAAAAACTGAACAAGCAACTCATTTCTCTCTGATATAATAGGCCTGAAAGAAAATAATATAAACTTCATATTACTGTGTGTTGCAACATATCTTAGTGTAGAAGTATGCTAGATATGCAGACATTCAGACTAAAACCTAACAGAAAGATCTTCTGGTTGTTGTGGGTTTCTGGGGTCTTTGGCCGTGTTCTGAAGGTTGTTCTTCCTTTATTAGTACAAACATTTGCCATATGGAATATAGAAAATTTTATTACAAATATGTATTGGGATATATTTTCAGAGTAAAGTAAGGTTAACACATTTTTTTCTCCACACAAATATTTACTTAAGTTCTCAGAAGAATAATGACATTCAAATAAGTGAAGAGAAAACATGTACCTGTTAAACAGAGTATTACATAATACATATCCAACAATCTACACACTGATCCATATCTAATGCATCTTAATGTTACACAGTTGGTAACATTTAGTGCATTTATTTAACATTATGAGTATTAAAAAGTCCAGCCTTCAGACTCAGTTCAGAAATTCTCCAATGCTGTTCAAGTCAAACCTTCACAAATTTACACTAGTGATTAGGACAAAACACGTAACTAAATGTAACACTTTCCTGTTCTTTCCTTATATATTCTTTCTCCTTCCTATCATCCTGACTCACCACCTGTCATAATCTTTGCCTTCTCCCATTTCTGCATCCAGCTCTTTGTCTTACAAATGGAGACCACAAAGAGCCCCCCCCATTTTTAACCTATCAAGATGCCCCCACTGCTTTCCTTCTACTCAGACCCCCCTTTTACCACCTCTTTGAGAGGGACCTTGAGGGTGGTTAGTGGCTATGCCTTTCCAGTCAAGTAGACTTAACTTATGGTCATAAGGTTGTAAGCAAGTACCTAAGAAAAACTTTTAGTAGGCTGTTTGGCAGCCAATTATTGGCAGTTTATCTTATAGAGCTGCACAGCATAGTACCACATGTGCAGAAGATTTGTTGGCCAAAACTGAGGACTAAGAGTTATGTACACCTGTACTGTACAGTGGTGTATTTGTACATATGTGGAGCCTTCATATTGTGTCTACTGCCCAGCATCAGTAGTGGCAGGTTCTACAGCCAAAGAAAAATAAAGTATTTCTCTAATAAAATCATATTACCTCATTATAGCAACTTTCTTAAACCACATAGAAAGAAGCTTGCACTTGCATCTGGTTTCATTTCACTTCACACTTACCTGCAGTTCCCTTCACCAAGAAAATGGCCCAGAAAGCTACAGAGTGGCATAAACTGGCTGAAAATAGACACTAACAGCTTGTGGATTTCACTGGAGCTCTCTCCAGTCTTTTCCTCCTTAATCTCATTCAGAAATGCATGGATGAAATAGTCTTTCTGAATGCACTAACCTTCTCACAGCTCACACCATATTGGCTTGGGACAAGAGTTGTATGGGGGATGTTGGGTTGGGGAAGGATGAATTAGTATTATGAATCCACCCAATGCAACTATACCTTATAACTAATGAAATCCATTTTAATATTCAGTAAATTTTAAGAAAACAAGTTATGAAAATCTAGATAATAACTGTTGATCAAAGGAAGAGTGCTGCAGAGAGCATTAAAAGATTGTCACTGAAAGAATAATGATGGCTGTGTAGTCTTTCTCCCCTGTAAAATAAATCTTTATATAGGATTTGAAACAGTTTAAATAGAAATAATACCATTACTTACGCTGGTGGACTGTCTCCACAGTATTTTCCAATTCTTCTAGCATCATTAATCTCACCTCCATTAAACACGGCTACATAGTCATATCTGCAGTAGTTATCTCTCTCCACATCAAATTTTTCAAACTTTAACTCTATTAACTGCAGAAAAGGATTAGGAATCTAATGAAAACATTTTTGTAGCTAATCATCCACAGTAATATCTCCTTAAAATTAAAACATTTCACATGTTGCTCCTTTGCAAGACAGGCTTAAATCACAAAGATCTTCAAAGACTACCCAGTTTAACTCTTACATTTAATCCTCTTGTAAAATTACTAAGAAAGTTGGTCCTAAAACATTTTAGGATTGCACTTCAGTGAATAAGTGAACAAAAGGATATGTGCCACTGAGAATTCAAATTACTGTGAGATCAAACTCTGAATAACTATTCAGCATATCCAGAGTTATTTGAAATTCTTTTAGCAATAATAAAAGGATCAGAGGAACATGAGAAACAACATGAAAATGTTGTCCAATATATTATTTATACAAATATAAACCCAACCCAACTACTGAAGGAAAGCTCTCAGTTTATGTACAACATAAACTAATTTAAAGCATGATCAGCAGCTTAGAGTAACAACAACGAAACCCCCAGATTCACGTACTCCACTCCCTCTTTGATCTGAAGCAAGATTGAAATCTCAGAGCTGCACCCATTGGAGAATGCTGCCTATGTGGTCCAGAGTCACAAGTTATTTTCATTCTTTTTGAAATTGATGGAATTTGTTCCCTTCTTGCTAAAAAAATGGATTTTTTTACAGAGAAAATTTGTGGGGGGAAAGAAACCCACACAGAAATAGAGTAGGAGAGCAAGACAGAAAGAAGAGCAAGCAAGCGAGAGAGCACTGCTGTATTTCTGCCCTGGTCAGCATAAGCTTGGGAGGACCTACGAACCGGCAGTTCTTCTGCTGTGGACCCCATCCTCACAGGACTGCTTTCTTAAAGTTAGATGTACAAGGGGGTGCTGATACATAAGTATTGAGCCTTTCCCAGAAAAAAAAAGAGCTAGGAAGCTGTAACTGCCACACTATTCTACATATTCCCCCAGGAAGTCAATGCAATTGCAACATCTGTCCTGCAGCTTCTTGTTGTTTAGTCGTTAAGTCATGTCCGACTCTTCATGACCCCGTGGACCAGAGCACGCCAGGCCCTCGTGTCTTCCACTGCCTCCCAGACTTTGGTCAAATTCATGTTGGTAGCTTTGTTGACACTGTCCAAACATCTCATCCTCTGTCATCACCTTCTCTTCTTGCCTTCATACATTCCCAATATCAGGGTCTTTTCCAGGGAGTCTTCTCATGAGATGGCCAAAGTATTGGAGCCTCAGCTTCAAGATCTGTCCTTCCAGTGAGCATTCAGAGTTGATTTCCTTCAGAATTGATAGGTTTGTTCTCCTTGCCGTCCAGGGGACTCTTAAGAGTCTCCTCTAGCACCACAATTCAAAAGCATCAATTCTTTGGCGGTCAGCCTCCTTTATGGTCCAGCTGTCACTTCCATATATCGCTACTGGAAAAACCATAGCTTTGACTATGTGGACCTTT